AAGAAAAAAAAAAAAAAAGGTAAATTAAGGACAGTTGGAACACGTCAAGGTCAAGCAAGGGTTCTCTTCCTGGCGCCTCCCGAGATTGGCGAACAGCGTCTGATGCGTCAGGTTGCGGAAAGAAGTCCAGCCACAAATCAGTACAGTCCACTGCCATTACCTCCCGCTTGATACTTTGCTATTTTATTCCATTGATATTCTGCGCTTGTATTCTACGTTCTTGCCTGCAGACAGTTGATTGGAAACTCTCGCAGGAGAAGACGAAAATCATGACAATCATGGGTTCAGGATGACGGAAAATGAACTCTGTAGCCAATAGTCATTCATAGCGCTTCCTGCATGGCACCGAGGAGGCAACCAAAAAGTACCAGAGGGGCCCACCAGGTCTCTTGTGAAGTATCAGAAGATAATCTCGCCATGTAACCTTTCTAATGTAATTCATCTGCAACTAGGGCTTAGCGGTGACAGCTGACCCCATGTCTGCGCTTCCGATTGGCCTGGGCGGCCGGACTGGTACGGGCCGACGTTAAAATGGCTCCACCAAGGTCAAGACTCAACTTGATGGGTGGGCGATCCGTGCATCAATCCAGAGTGGACGAGTCAGACAAGTGGACAGAATAGAATGGTGTCTGCATAGCTTCTTTCTCCCGAAAACACGCCTAGTTCATCTGTACGTAAGAAGCATGATAGGATGGTGGCACTGGTACAGCGCAGAATTCATTTATGCTTTTGACACACCCCCTCCAAATGTCAGGTCAACCAATTGCACCAATTGAACTAGGGCCTGAAACGCATGTCCGTCGGCCACTGGAAGTGGCTCAGGGGTTATTTCGGCCATAGGCAACACTAGTGAACTTTACCCCGGAGGATCACAAGAAGCCAGTGATCTTCACTGCCGATCGCCGTGGCTCGACAGAGCAGAAAGACACAACAGTCTGCCTCTAAATAACATTCCTTTTGCCTACCCCGATTCGATTTTGATGTTTGTAATCCCGACCGATCGGTTTCTTCTGGATGGCGTGTTTCGATCTTCGTGACCATCAAGCATGGCTTCCACCTACTCCGGCGGAATCTTCGATAGTTTAGGCAAATTCTATGTATCCGTGGCCATCGTGTGGTCGGTCGCCCTTCTCGTCGGCTCCGTCTTCCTTGTCGTCAATCGCCATGAGCAATGCATTCGCATTCGAAACCTACCTCTCGCCCTGAGCGCGGTATCATGTCTTCATATCTACTGGATTCTTTGCATGTTGGCTTACACGATGGCCGGTGAATACCCCTGCGGTGTGGAGTACTGGATCATGAGTGTTTACCTGCCGCTGGGAATCGCTCTATTCCAAGCCAACAGCATGCAACTCCTAAGCGTCTCCGGCATTCAAGAGAAGATGCTCCAAACCGCACACCAACCGCAGAGAGCCAGGTACAGTACTGGTTCGAAAGGTCCCAGTCAATACTGGCGTCAATGGAAGCAAATGAACTTGGTCCACCGGACGGAAGTGGCTATTGCGGTGGGAATGGCAGTCCAAGTAAGTTAGCCACACGTGCGCGCTCTTGTCAAAGCTCATTTTAACCATCTCAAATTTAGTTAAGTCTGTCGCTCTCTATCTACCTCGCGTCTCGAAAGTTCCATGGCTTCGGCAGCTTCTCCCAACATGGCAGTCTTGCGGAGTGTCGGCGAGGTCCTGAATGGCAAGATTCACAGTCAGATTGTAGCGTGGTCTTCTTCTAACAAACGTCTAGGATCCCCTCAATTCTGTGGCAATTGTTCTGGTCTTGGATATTTGCGCCGTGCGTTCTCTGGAAGATTCGCAAGATTCGCGACATACATCACTGGAGGCTTCAAATCACACTCTGCGTCATCGCCGCGTGAGTGCTTAACTACCAATTATAGTACTCTTCCCATCCCCTGATGCTGACCTCTTCGCAGGTTACCAGGTTCGCCCTTGTGGTTTATAGCGCTCAATTCGACCTCCGGGGCTTGGGCAACCGTTAATCGGTACTGGGTACCAGCTCTTTGGTAAGGAAGCTCCATTGATGAATGTGGGGAGCTCGAACTCACAAAATGTGCAGGTTTACTCCGGGCATTGTGGCGATGGAGGGCGTTACAATCTTCTTTCCATGTTACGAGCTTATCGTTTCCCGAAAGCAGCGAGATCGCATCCTTGGAGAGATTCGAGCCTGGAACGAGAAGAAAGGTGCCGATAGCGAGTCGGATTCGGGGACGTCGAGATCGCAGGCTGGCTCCAGCCGCATGCCTGAGCTGTACTCCATAAAGGCGTTGGAGAAGTGTCTATCGGAAGACTCCCATGCCCTGCTCCACTTCGCTGCGGCCAAAGAATTCAGCGGCGAGAACATTATCTTCTTGAATTACGTGCGGGACTGGAAGGCCACCTGGGCCAGGATCAACGCTTCGAATCCCGAATACGATTGGAGCCGCGATCCTCAATATCACCGGCTTCATTTCTTCAAGATTGCGGTCGAGATCTATAGCGCCTGCGTCAATTTGAAAACGGCGGAATTCCCGATCAATGTCGAATCGCGGATCTACTCGGATTTAACGAAAATGTTTGGGGAGGCAGTGCAAAGTTCCGGTCGGCGTATGTCAAGAGGCGCCGCAACACACATGGAAGAAGACACTCGGGCTCTGTGTCTGGATGAAAATCCGTACGTGAGCCAGAGTATCATGCATATCAAATCCCGGGTTCCCGACTCAGTTGTGGTTCCTCCAGACTTTGGGATTTCTGCTTTTGACGAGGCCCAGAAGTCCATCCTCACTCTGGTGTTCACTAATACCTGGCCTAAATTTATTGATTCTTCGAGCGACGACTTGTCCATCAAATTTTGAGTAAAGATACAGCAGTTCCGGCATGGCTTTTTGGTTTGGGGTTCTGGTTCGGGGGTCTATGGTAATTTACTATTAGGTACAAATGAGGATATATTTGCACACTGGAAGTAGACACACAATAGGGATTACATCGCTCTTACTCTTCCGCGGCTAGCCTAAGTATCAAGAGTCAAAGATGGGCCCAAAGGCGGGCACCCCACTGGCCTCGAGTTCGAATACGACCTTTTTCGTGAGCACCGGGTTGCTAATGACGCAGACAGCTTCCGCATCGAATTCCCGGATGAGTTCCCGCGCCATTGGGACCATATCCACTCGCCCACTGCTGTTGGTATCGATGATCAGCGGGTTAGGGTCAAGCTGGCGCACGAGGTTGAGGACGTCGGAACCATACGTCCGGCTCGGGTTGCGTGTCTGCCAGAGGACTCGCAACGGTGGGCGATCCTTCTCACTCAACCAGGAGAGACAGGGCCCTATTCCAGACCCTGTAGTGATAATGACCACCCTGCGGAAAACTCGCATCACATGGATAAAGCCATACATCAGTGTTCCACGTTTCCAGAGGTAGGTTGGTTGCTGATCAATGCATCGAGTCGTCCAGTCACCCGCCTTCGATACTATGCACGAAAAGCTTTTGCCATCAGGATCTGGAAAGGTTGCAAAGCTATGCCAAGTCCGTAGTGGATGCTTGGAGAGAGCTATTACTTTACCAAATGCCGTGGATGTATGATCCAGGTGGAGTCGGGCCGCATGCGGTGATAGATATTCGGGCCACACTTTCACTCGACGAAGCAGTAGCCAGGGATGGACAATCGTCGCGACGATAACAAGGACGATCCAGAAGGCGGGGAGCTTGATCAAGTATCGTCCAAGACTCACACCCTCTGCATGACGGGCCTGGTCGGCAAAGACCACCAGCAGCGTCAGGAAAAGTGCGACCGCCAGCCATGCACCGAATCGGTGCGTCAGCTCAAAATAGTCATGGAGCTTCGTCCGGAATGTTGGGTGCGCAACCACGATGATCGCCATCAAATCCGCGAGTAATACATAGGCGAGGACCACCACCGGCAGGGACACAGTCCCCGAACCTGGAAACATCCAATATTCCCGCGATATTAAAGCCACGAGGCCCACATACCACAAGAAAGATGCCACACCACATCCACTGTGGACGCCGCCGTAATGATACGCCTTCGCGGCCATCTTGCGCAGCATGAGAGGAGTCGACTGTGGGATGCGGCATATGCTCACAAAGATAGCATTCACCACCAGGGGATGTCGCGCGAGACCACATATCAGTAAATTGACAGCGGCTGCGTTGACAAATGCGAGGAGCTTCTCTCGACTCTGCACCATCACGATCACGAATGCGATCGCATTGGCGCAGTATATTAGGGTAAACAAGCGGCGGTAGATGGTGAGGAGCAGATACCGTAGTGAAGCAAAACACTTCCTCGGGGGCTGCTGGGCCTCAAGGTCCACATTGGCGGAATACCTTTTCCAATCCCCTGTGGTGTCATTGCTGAGATATGTATCAACGGATGTCGCGATACTCGGCTTGCTAGAATGTGTGGGAGACATTGTGTTCCAGGATGATGTAGCCTATGTGTGGTGTTGCAATTGAGGGCCGTGGGCGTGTGAAAACCCAAGTATATACAAGATAAGAGACATATGTGCATACATGAATCCAACAGGCACAAAAAAAAGAAAAGAAAAAAAAGCCACGACAAGATAAACACTTAAATAAGATCAGTGCTGCTAACGGGGTCTTACGGCTGACGTCTGACACGCTTATTAGCAAAGAAAATACCCCTCATTTTTTGATAGTCGTAAGATGCCGTTAGCAGGTTAACGGTTGTGGGTCACCTAAGCAGCAATTGTATTAGTTGCGCAGATGCCAGATGCCAGTCGCATGGCTGAGGTCGAAAGAGCGAGCCATTTCGTGACCTCGCAGGGGCAACTATAGGGAAACAAAGAGGCCACGCAGGCAGTCGAACCGGGGGGTTCTCCATCTAATCTGACATGGGCGAATGGCATGGTCGAACGACTCATGCGTATGCAATGCAACCAGCTAGCCATGGACTAAGACCCGTCCTGACCCCAGTACCGCTCTGGCCGTTGGGATTCCGGTGCAGCTTAATAAAAATTTGCAGCTCAACATAAATTGCGTTTTCCATTCTTGTCTGTCGACGTTGGCACGCAATTAACTCTATCCGGGCGGTAGAAACAGAACATTCATTCTTACCGCTAGATTGATGAGGATCCCCGTGCACCCGTAGGTCTACCTGTCTGAACTTTCAATCGACCGCGAGCAGCGTCGAAGCGTGGGGATCGACATGCTACCAGTCCCATTCGCTGATAAGGCATCGGCTTGGCATCTAGAAGACTTTGCTAGGGTTTTAACCGTGCCAATAAGAACGTGCGGACCCCTCACTAGCCAATTGTATTAAATTTCGTTCGTTTGCTGTCGTCTCATCCATGAACCTCTAGGCGTGACTCGGACCGCTCCAGATCCATCCTGACCTGAAGTCAATTGATCATCATGGTTGATTTAGCGGATATGTACATAGTCCATACAAAAATATATATCCGGGGCTGTGTATGCGTGCTAATCTACCCTATGGTGTTGAACTTCTAACTGGGGCAGATATAAGGGGAGGTTCAAGTTGTCGTGCTGAATAATGAGGCTGCGTATAACTATACATGTATATAAACTTAAAAAGCATTATAGGACACCGAGTCATGAAATGTACGCCACATGGAGTCTGCCTCTCATTAACTCCCGGAAGTGTGACATTGACAGGCACGAGCTGACAGGACGAGGCAGCCGAGGCAACGGCCTGAGGCAAAAGTTTATTCCGGCCCCCGAAATGAAGTTTTGACACTATCCAAGGATTCGCAAAATAACACATGGTAAGCCCTCGACACCACCGACAGGGAATGTCCTGCAGCTTCGTGCTTTTATGGCATGATCTGTCTAGGATTCAACTCCCCATGATAATACTTCGTTAATTACTCCCCTTGTTCTCATGCACGAGTGGTATTGATAACGTAAGCACGGACTACTACAGTCTAGTCGCGGCCAGCCAAGCTGCCAGCCAGCCTCGTCCAACGCTTTTTATGCCTTGAGGGCTGATGGCCCCCAGCCTTGCTAACCCAGATGCGGCGGGTGAGCAAGTCAGAATCCAAAAATAAAAAAACAGTAAACCCAATTAACCAAGCCAAAGTTCCTCTCGCACGTCCGATCTGAGGGGGTGTCGAGCATAGGATAAAAATACACGGGGATAAGACCTTAGATGCTTCGTCCGTGGCATCACCATGACAAAAAATGTATGTGACGTGCAACATTGCCTTGTGCATGTTCAGGAGTTAATCCCTCTAGGGTTCGCTGGTTAAAGACGCCTTTCGCGCCAAGAAGAGCGTAACAAGCTAAGACGACGCATGCTGTACATGGTGTGGCTCCTGTTTACCCAAAAGAGGCAGTTCTTAGGACAGGATCAGATCCCGCTTTCCTAAGTAAGCGAACAAAGACAGGTTAGATTTCAAATGACATAATTCAATTGTGGATTGTGCGTCTGTTTTTGTGTGGGTGTCGATCATTTCGAAAGAGATTTTAGGGTCGGTGGATTCCGTCCAGCTGTCCTATTGATGCCTCAGGCACCAATAACCACCCGTCGGAGGTGCGGGCATTGCTTTTCCGTTCGGCAACAAGACCGAACGTAATAAGTGAACTATGTCGTTGCCATAACTGACAGCACCCGCCGCTGCCTACGCGAACAGTCCCGTCCATGGAAAACTTAAAGCAGGGTTACTCGACAGCACTGGCATGTCGGTTACAGGAATCCGAACCTCTGGCTATATTGTGAAACCCCATTAGGCGTGTCCATCCCCCCTCTACGTATGCAGCCTGGCATATCTTGTCACTGAATATCCACTAAGCATGAAGTATAATTCAATCGGCATTTGCATTATATGAATACCGTCCCTCAGTATTCCGGCGAGGTATAACTCCTTGACATACATATGTACCTGGATAACCACATACTGATCATACAGGTCCCGAGCTGTGTTTAGACTAAACTGATACTCGACAATGGGGATGCGAGGAAGGCATCACAGCTACTGGCGCTATGTACAGATAGCTGGGGAGTAGTGAAGACTCGGCGAACGTGAGTTTGAGGCGCGTGACGGACATGATCCCGGGATGCATGTCAAAGTGGAGCCAAAGAAGAGCCGATGTGTTGGAAGGATCGAACAGCAAACCCAAACAAGGAAGACATATCTATTAAGGTTAATGCATCTTGATAATCTCTTACATTTGGACAGCCGAGCAAACCCGGCATGCCTCTTGTCATGAGGTATAGTTTTATTTTCTTTATTAAAAGATTTGTCATTAATGTACTGCGTTAATCCGGTCTCCCTCCTGTTATCATTGGTATCACAGCTGCTCATGGTACGATCGTCTCTGTCTGGTGATTAACGAGCGGATCTGCCGGCGGAAGCCTTCATTATATGAGTAAGTAAAGGCATTCGCTAAACCAATAAACTGCGTAGATGCCTGGAGGATCTGCAGCCACCTCGTCTTATGACCAAGGGATTCGAGCAACCGATTGAGCAGCCCGGGGATCCACAGAAGTACATAAAAAGCCGGATAGCCATTCAGTAACATCACCCGGCGAACTTCAGCATATCGGATTTTCTTATCTCGTTGTTCCGTAGAATCTCCTCTCCTTCCCGGGGTGTCAGCGTATCTAAGGCGGCGCTCATTGGAGGTCGTGTCGTATTTACTCGGCAGGCTTTTCACTAGAGCGCCTCATTAGGAATGCATCGTGGAAGCGATTCTTTCAGCTTACCTGCGGAAAAAGGGACCTGCGATGGGAGATGATCCCTTGACGGAGACTCGCCTACCCCACCTGTGCTGGATTGATTATTGAACACGTCGCTACTCTGGACAGTGATTGTTGTGTCCAGCCTTATGGATGACAGTTCTACGGGATCTCCTTCTGTGGACCTGGATTTATCACGGCCAGATGTTGTATCACCGTTCGGGAACAGGCTCAGATGCTCGTAGCGGCGCTTGACAACGACGAAGACCACAATATACGTCACGGCTGTAATGAACACAATAGCTATTCGCCATCCATGTCCGAGGGCGTACCGTAAGCCTAGATATTGCGACTCGATCCAACACCAATTGCCGCTGACGGGTCCAACGATACCCAAACAGAGTGCCGTCGTACCTGCTATGAGTAAATAATGTGTGCGAAACCGGTGAAACCGAAAGAGTACATATGCAATAAGGGGACAAAGGAATAGGCACTCACTAGTGACTAAAGGGGTAATCCATATGGAAATGCACAACATCACCTTGGCTCTCCAGCTCAAGGTTGATACTATGGTTGGCCGTTGGACAATCCACAATGCGACCATGGCTATGGCCAGAATCGAAAAATCAATGGCCTGTGTAACACTCGATGAGAAAGGAGGACCACTATTGAGGGCGCTGGTGAAACATACTTGGACGGAGAATTGGCCAATCCAACCATTCAGCTGGCAACCAGGTCCGGGTTTGAGGTCATGGCGCCGACTGACGACTAGGAAGCCTGAAACGGTATTGTTTGTGGCATTGAGGAAATCTATTCGATAGTGCAACTCGCATGTTAGCCCAATCATCGGTCGGAGCATTGTGATACATCGTATACTGTACCCGCGATTGTCAGATTCAGAATTAGCCAATGCCGAAAATGGTTTTTGGGTGAAATGGCGAAGATAACGAGAACAAAAGCCGACGCAAGAGCAGAGAGGAGACTCCCAACAACTGTCGGGACCGATACAGCTAGGTCAACAGCCATGGGATACTGAGGCACCGTCACAGGGCCTCATTTCGTACCTTCCGTGAGGCATGCATAGGTCTGAAAGGGAATCGCATCGACTGAGAGGCGTCAACTATCTGCTTAAATCGAACGAAACGAAAGCTTCCTTGCGTGTTAACGCTGTTCGCTTCTATTACATAACGTGGCCCACTGACCCAAGTGTTGAACTCACAGAGGTAACTGGCCCCTTAGCCAATATTTTAAGTAAGTGACTACTGTTACAGGGTGTAACAAGATTGTCTGTGGGTGGGTGTGTTCGTATATCTTTTCCTCCTAGAAAATGGCGCCGGTTGAACAGAGCCTTCGATAGCCTATAGGAACTAACGCGGGCGGCGATCTCTTGCCTTAATAGAGCTGATGGCCCCACTAACGGTTCGAATCTTGAGAATCTTTAGATGATATGAGCATCAGCTGTGCGTGGCAGGATCTCGCCACAAACTTTATTTTCTATTTGCCATCCCTTCAACTAATCCTCCATAGTCTCCTGGTACTTCATGCCGGTATCATAGTGCGGCCGGGGAAGAGAAAATCTGGAACGGCAAAGCAGGATCGATAGACTAGCGTGTATTGGAATATAGCACAAGGTCTATCAGCGTCCAGCAAGTCCTCTCATGCCTAGGAAACTGACAGGTGCCCACTTCGGGTAGTTGAAGAGTGCTACATTCGTAAAGTATTCAAAGTACACCGATGAACACAGGAGTAGAGTATATGCCCATTGAGTTTTACTTGCTTTACGGAGAATAGGGGTTGTAGAGTTACCAGGGTGCAGTTTCTTGGCCCGTGCCACGAGGAGCGACTAGACCGCGCGTGGAGCCGAGGGAAATATTTACGGGTCTCAGACAGACTCTCAGGGGCTTCAGAGTTTGTTAGTGCCTGTCTCAGAACACATTGAGAATAAGCTTTAGCAAGAGCCTGCTGGTGACCTTAACCCTGGCAATTGAAACTGGTCTGGGGAATTCATGAATGCCGTTGTGGGTGCAATTGTTTCAATACTACTGTGGTCAATGATGCCCAGAAACAAGATATCCGATTGAAGTCTCGAGACTCTGTACAGGCAATTGCTATGTGAGCTTGAGTACCTTTCATTTGATGACAGCACTTCAGAATCATAGGCATAAAATAGGCCCAATGTGAACCATGGTGCAGGTTAGGGTTAGAAGGTAGCTTTACGAACGGCGGCAAACGGCGAGACGCCCCACAACTCTATTCGGCCACCACCTTTCGTCTGGAAAGAAAAATCTGAGATGGTCAGCGGATTATTCCTTGACTGGAGACCAAATTGGCATAATCTCTGTTGCAAGCCGAACAAAAACCTCGATCTTCTAGAAGACTTGCTTTTTATTAGAGGATCTGCAGTACGATGGATCAACACCCAAGCCTAAGATGAAACCCAACTGAGACAAAAAGGGTCTTGGTGGGGGAACAGTGGAAATCTGCCAATCGCTTAACTGAACCACTGAACTAGCGAGGGATAAAATCTATGGGTGACTTAAGAGCCAAAAGGGAAGAGTAGAGGAGAGGGAAATGCTGGAAGTCTGAGACTCAACGTTGGCTACCAAACCACGTGGTCTAGAATTGCCCCAACCCACTCTTTCTTCCGCCCGTCGACACCGGCTCAAGAATTCTTTACATTAGCTTCGAAAATATGTACCAAAACCTGAATGCATACAACAGGGTTAGTCTTGCGATGTTAAATATTCCGTACTCTGACGTCCATTAATGGTCACTGTTGGAACCGAGTCAGCATTTACGCCGAAATCCGACCGTCCTTTCCCCGTTACCCTCGGGTTTATCTTTACTCAACTCGCCGCTATGATTGATGAAGGACCCACTAATGATGCTGTTTCGCCCAGGAAACTGGGCCACGAGAGTTCTTGAAGAGCGGAAATAAACTCAGTTAAATCCAAAACCCATGGGCGTCGGACGGAAAATATTGTGCCGTAGTATATAGCTACTCTCCCCCAGGGCAACGGGTGCTCGGGGAACGTTGCCAAAGCCTAAGATGCCCGGGATCCAGGATTTAATGAAGTTGCGACTCGGTCCAGCATCATGGTGATTTAACAATACAACCATGGCTATATAAGGAATAATTTAAAACATCCTGGAATTATGTATCTAGAAAACTAGCATATAGGAGGCAACTGTGACGCCGACGGTGTTTCAATAAGGGACCTCGCCTTCCGACACGTCTGAAGCCATATCAGTCTGTCATGTATATTATAGTAAGCATGGCAAAGACGGTAAGCTGAACTCGTCGCATGCAACGTAGCAAGAGTATTCAAGCCTCAACGCATTTTCTAGATTTATAGATATAGACCATTCCGATAAGTCCAAAGTATGCTCACGAGCTTTCACTCCGGCCAAGAACCATGTTATAGTTATATGATGTCATGGTATCAGAATGGAAATGATGTAGACTGTCCAGCGTTTACGGAATATATGTGGAGAATGATACATTTTGATCTCAGTGAGACAAGGCCGTACCCAAGAGAAGAATTGCCGGCGGATGCGGCTCTTACATAGTACCGGAATGATGAAGGAGTCTCAGGCACGATACATAATACATACGCCCATCATGGCTTGCGTGGAGAGCGGAGGTTCGTTTGGGGGCAGTTCAATGTGGAGGATGTTGTTGTCTGCTCTTCATTTGTGCATGAAGGCTTTCCGCCCCCAAAGGAGTGGATCTGATCATCATGTTTAGAGGCTTGGAGGTGATCGACGCGCCAATTAACATGATCTATAGATGGCTGATCCCATACAGAAAACGCGTCTGGACTGCCGATCACGAGCCTGAATCGATAAATTTTGGAATGCCGTCTTCATGCCATGCATGTCTTTGCATTCCCAACCCCTCCAACACCAATGTCGACACAAGGTACCCAACTCACAACGGTGTGCTTGGTTGCCACACAATTGATCCTTCCTATGTTACTAGTATACGGCAGAGAGATGCTGAGATCATAATCTTGCCCCATCGTCCGACAGCTAGCTAGCGTTAGTCATGGCTCAGAATCTAAATGTCACTCCGGATGTACAAATCCAGCCTCTATTCCTGCAGGCTTTTAATTATGCCGACAAAACCAATACCCTGAGGCTAGAAGACTGGCTCTCGATCCTGACGCTCTGTTTATCTCCCTTGATTGCCCATATTCTTTCGGGTGCTCCGACCGTGGTACGACGATGCCCGAGTCCCCCGACGTGGCTCGACACGCTTTGCCTATACAATCCCACCAGCATCCTATGGCGATATCTCGCCATCGTGGAACGCCGAGTGAGATACCGCCATAGTTGGGATGCAGCGGACATGGCTGCCACCAATGCGCTCTTTTGGACGCCACACGGCTTCGATGGTTCCGAAGACATGATGAGGCAGAGCCGAAGCTTCTGTGCACGCATCCCACGTCATCACCGCACGGAGATCTGGTCAATAGATTCTATTAAGACTGTCATCATCACTCTACAGGGTATCCAAGCCCTCGTCGTTCTGGTTCGCGGCGTCCTGGCGTTAGCCAATATTGGCAATCAACCGTACAACGCAACCATCTCTATGAGCACTATTTTTTACCCTCTTGCTGTTATCGGTCTCCTTCGACTGTTCGCTGCCCCCTGGTTGACCGACGATTATGCCTACCACGAGCATGAAACGTACGAGAGTAGCAGGATTTTGGCGCAGCATACCACGCATACCCCTTCTTCGGATGGCGCTTCCTATACCGCCGTTCGTACCGGTCCTGACACCAAAAACACGACGTCCTCAAATGCATCACTGCTACCCAGGAGCTCGATGGCCATCTGTGATCCGCCGCCCGATGCTTATACTCGTCCTCAGGGACTCCATCTTCCCACTCTGGCGGTTGTTGTGGTCGTGCGTTGCTGCTATCTTGGCCTCATATGTGCCATCCTGGCTATATGTGCGTGTTATATGATCCCGTACAACGGGGCGAGTGAGATGCTAACGCATGCAACGTCCTCGTCCGTCCTTTGGCTGCTTATTTTCATGTATATTGTGTTCATTCTGGTTTCGATCGTTCTCTTCGTCATTTACCTCATCCAGCGCGGCCGGGACACCACAACCGTCATCCCATGTATTCGTACATGGTGGTACCGGGCTTATACGCTGGTCTTCATTGCAGCCGCCGTTGCGTTGATCATTCTTTCTGGGGTCTACACGCGGCGAACATCATGCGGGCAGCTGACCGTTTTTCCACCCGCTTTTGACCAGCAGGTGTGCAATGGTACGCCCATGCAGGTAGACAAGGGTACGGGACCGTTTGGGATAGTCACTCAAGCGCCAGGTCTCACGCCAGAGACTTGGATCTTACCATTGGAGGGATGGTGCTCTGGAACCTTGACGGGTGAGATTTTCCCAGTCATCTCTGTGTCATGATGTGTCTGTAGAGATCTTGTAGAATGCTGGCTGGACGGGACTCCAGTATATACGAATATGGGTAATGTTATGATTAAGAAGGAAGAACACGGAACATTGACTTCTATCTGAAACCCCTGCGACGTTTTCACTAATCTTCTATGAGTTTTTGTATATACTTTGCTAAATCGTAGCTATAGAAGTAATATCAACTGGTAGCTATGCTGCTTCGTAGAGCTCCTCAACGATCCTGGTACTGGTTCAATTCAATTAGCTCATACCAAGCGCTATAAATCGCAGACACTCGGTGCATGAACAGTCGTGCAGTCTATTTCCGATTACAGTGATCACAGCTAGCTAAACGTTGCTTCCAGTAATGTTGGCCTTGAACCCAGGAGATATAGGATATGCTGGAAACTCCCAGGGAACACTCCTTCTCAGTAACTGGTACTCCAATCCCTTATCCCCTGCATTCATATACATAAACTTCGTATAGGGCACCGTGGCATAATATGAAAAGGACACCCCGGCTGGAACAAACGCCACATCACCATGCAATAAATGCACCAACTCATAACCCTGTACCTGGAAAGCAAGCTGACCCTCCTCCATTTGGAGGGCAAAGTGATGCGGCAATATCGCCGTTGAGACGGACTCATTCCTCAGCTTACTGGACATGATAATGGTTCCCATGGTAAAGTTCCCTTCTGTTTGAGCAGGGGATGCGAGCGGCTGGATAACCTTGTATCCAATGTCAGTGTTGAGATACTTGGGCCCGTAATCTTTGGCAACGAAGTATGGAGTTGTTGGATCGTCGGGTGGGGTGTTGGGCCCATCATGCCAGGACTGTTTGGCTTCACCAGCCGTACCATTGACAAAGTCGCGCCTCGGAATATACTCCTCCTCTGGTGCTGCGTACAGATCCAAGGAGACGAGGCGGTCGTATTCCTGAGGCGTCATCGGTCCGAAGGGGGAAGGATCATCTGGAATGGGAACGTAAGGTGAGCTGACGCCGCGGGTGTCGTGGTCACCTTGGCTGAAGACGTTGAAGAGTTTCTCGAAACCGCCAGGGTGGAAGACATGCGTGAGTTGCGAGTCAGGATCGACCAGCTGGAATGTGTGGATGGAGCCCGGGGGGATATTGCCGTAATCACCTGGTGTAGCAACGCGCGCCTCGTGGCTGGAGTTGGTGGCATTCTTCTGTCCCCAGAGCTGACAACGGCCACGGGTACAGTAGAGATGCTCATGTGTCAAGCCATGAGTGTGTGGCCGAGCTGATAGCCAGCCTGAAGCTTTTCCGTTATGTTGCAGCAGGGAAAAGGCACCGTCAGACGAGTTGGCGGTGATGGAGAAGCGGATTGTTTGGGACGAGGTAAGTTTGATTGCATCACCCTTGTATTTCGGAAGGACATATGGACGCACAAAATTGGGTGCAGTATCGACGATGATGCTGCTATTAGGGGGAAGGCCTTCTGTCGCAGCAAAAGGGGTGAGCAAGATAATGGATAGCATCCATCCGAAGAATGGGCTCTTCATCTCGGGTAGTATTACAGGATGTGCAGCATATAATGCGGTAATGAGGGTACAGTGGATAGTGAAAGAGGACGACCACAGTGGCCTGGTCAGGAGGAGTATTATATAGAAAGGGATATGGAGTATGTGAGCTACATTTATCACGACTACAATGATGTGTGAGCTTCGTGATTACAGGACACACAGGCCCGCTCGATGTACCCGCAAGGATTTCTTGTAATGCTCCTTGGCACAACTTGAAACTATCATCATCTGATGGAGGCAGACTGGGGAATCTTTACGACAAGCAAGCATATTCACTTAGCCACGCCCCCATTCTATTTGCGTCAGGTTCATTGTGCAGCAACATATTCCTGCGAATGTCTTAACCCCCTTTCCGAAGTTGGCACTGCGCTATTAAGGCGTTGATCAATTCAATTGTACCATGTACCGTACCTTGATTAACCTATTGAGAGATGGTGGTCTGGGGACGTGAGATACAATGATCAGCTCACCACTCAGGCCATCTAGAGTGCTTAGCAACAGTTTACGGTCAGTAGGAATTAATTCCGCCCCAGGCCTCCAATTAGGTATCCACATAGTAGAATTATTTAGCCTCAAGCCCTGCATATGTCAGGATATGTGGATCATCTTTACATACGTTAATCCGATTATCAATCGCGAGCTAGGCTAGGTGGCAAAATACGCGGGAAATAGAGGGTCAAGAAAGAGAGGGCCAAGAAAGAAGGATAGCCAAGAAGTTATCTCAAATTCTAGAACAATTCTTTTTTTTTTTCCCGCCGGATCCTTTCATATCCTAGTAACCTAAATCATCCCATCTGTGGAGCCAGGACTGGAAGTCGTTTCTGGAACCTGGCCCCGATTCTTGAGAGCTTTTCAAGCCGGATAGTAACCCAGCAATGATATCTAACACTTCTGGCTAGGTCACTAGGCTTGCCAATATTACCACACCCCGGGAATCATCATATGCGCTCCTCGCGTATGCCTTGTGTAAGGCAGCCATTAAAATCCACGCGCAGCTGAATTAAACTGTGTGGTGAGTCAAATACCATAATTACACTGCCCCTTCTAGACCAGGGATCCGTTGGCAATTTGGCTACAATTTTAGAACCCTTGATGCGCATTTTTCTATCTCTATCCTGCTGGTCTTCAGAGATCCGCATGTGTCATAAATCGGCGGATCGCTGGTACAAAATAGTTTGAAGGATGGCTACATCGCATTTGCAACTAATTTATACATATCTTCCTGCATTTTGGTCAACGGGGGAAGCCTTCAACGCTTACAGCTGAATCTACTCAAGGTAGGTTGAACATACTATTGTCGTCCCGCAGACTCCCTTCGTATGATCCCATTTCGGAGACAGTTTTAACACCAATCGTGTAAACAAAGGGCGTTGACATTCCGACTCAAACCATTGTAATACCTAATCTGCCTAATAATCTATCTCTCCACTGTACGACATGGTGCCGAATATGTCGGGACACAAGCCATATAAAACCAAAAGCCAGTATAAAAGTTCCCGATGCCTAGTTCAACACAGAAGGTTGGGCCTCAAGCAACGAGGCGTAACATCTCTTAGCCTCTACACTCGGATTACTTTAGCAATCTCAACACCTGGTGCGTGATATCAACCAAGGGAAACTGGGTTCGGTTGCCTGCCAAAGTCCCCGGCACTTTCTCATCAAGGAAAAATTCGGTAACGGAGTACAAACTGCCGCCAATCTCGACATTGTCCACCGAAAATCCGTTCTGAGAGACATATAGGTTGGGAACTGTTCCCACCATCTCTGCACTAGTCCATAGTCCATCAGCTGAGCGGAGCACAACAGTTCCGTCCGTGGTGTCAGAAACCAACAATACTGTGCCGTTGAATTGCTTTGGGAGAAGGATTCCATCCAAGCTATTACCGATCCTAGTCGCATTGCTGCCCTTCAGAGGAACATGGATTTTGTGTCCCACTTTCTCAGTCATGTTGAAACGGTACAGTTGTCCATCTGAGCTATCAGTACTAAGCAGTATGTCACCGCTGGCAGCGAGTCCTGAGAGGCCCGCTACTGTTTGATTGGGCTGAGGTTGCAAGTACCAAGGAATGGCAGTTGAGCCATTGGGACCAACCTTCACGATGCTCGTCGGGAAAGTACCCACGACAAAGGTATTGCCGTGAGTGTCATGAGCAGCGTCTTGGTAGCCACCGTACACACCATTCGTTACTTCAGTGAGGTTCTTTCTCCAAAGGACCTGACCATGGCCTGGATCAACCTTCACCAAGAAGTTATCGCCTGATATGTCCTGGCCTTGAGTGTCAAAGGCAGCACCAGCATCCACGATGACCGAGAGTAGGCCTTGAGGATCCACCACAACACCACTCATGTGAAGTATCGGGTCCCCAGAGAGTCCCGGCAGATGTATACTATCCACTATTTCTTTCTTGTATGGATCGTAAACAGCCACAGTGCTATTGTAGAGGGCACTGAAGATATAAAGAATCCAGGATCAGTTCATGCTCAGTGGTAAAATAATGTCTCTTACAGGAATACGGACCTTAGGTAGACTAGACAGTCATCCTCATTGAAGTCGGCATGCTCCGGATATAATTGGTAGGCATTGACAGTGATGTTGCCAGTGAGAGACGGGCATCCAGACTTGGCAGCATCTGCGGCATGGTTAGCTTCTTCGTCGGAAGGAAAACCATACATTCTTCTGTGAAAGGTTTCAAAGCAGGTACATCATAGTACTGTTACAGAGAGCGCTTCATTTGGTTCTGAACTTACCAGAGGATAGCGTAGAAACTTTAGGAATGTCATGAACGCTTGGGCCATGATTCCCAAGGTTGCCCACCACATCCGTACTTGGACTATGATGCATACCTGGGTTGTATATCGGCGTATTGTTATAAGAGCGCAATCGTCCACTTCGGAAAGCGGACGCCGGTATTCTGGCGTGTGCGGGAGCAATATTGCACCCAAGTAGGAGCATCGAAAAGATGAATGCTTGAAGTGATTCTTTCATGGTGGAGCTTGATTTGGGCGAAAAAATGAAGTATTGTCTTCACAGTTGATGCGTATGAGAAATTGGCCAAACCACACCTGAGCAGTTCCAGCTTTATATATGTCCATTGCTAGACGTAGATTGCAATGAGTCTATGGACCTAGTGCAGCGATTCTAATTCTAGACTATTCTCAACGTTGAGCATGGAACACGCCAAGTAAGGAGCTTAACCCAGAGCGTGCTCGTGGACACTAGCTACGCTTCAAGACCCTAGATCTAGAAGCTTGGAATCCCCTATTTACATCTTTTTTGCGCCAATATGCCATTAAGCAATTTACATACCCATGGCAATGCTTAGGCAGCGATAGCTAAATACGACGTTTGGAATTTCACCGCACCCTATGTACATCTTCTGTCGCCCTTTTTGGGTGTAATTCACTATCCCTACTCTTGATCTCTAAATCATGGGTTGCCGAAGATCATCATTCTGCTCTATCTAGCTCTACTGTCTTGAACCTCTAGCGGTGCCGGTTGTGCATCTTCCATCGCCTTCCACCCTAGAAGGAATCTAGTCTCGTTAAAGTGATCAAGACTAGTAGAACAACACAGCCACCCTCAGCTGGGCTCGTTTTTCTTTTGTGGAAAGTAGACTTTTGGCGTGAAGGTTACCCTGTTTGGCGGCTCATGGCTGGCTTTCCAGACTCGGTATTCTTAACGTTCACAGCAAAGTTAGACCCCAAGTGGATCTTGTCAACCTAGAATGTTTTTTTGAAACAAAGTGTGGCTGAGGTTGCATGAGGGATCCACAGTATCCTCAGATCCATATATTTTTCCATTCCAGAGTATGTTTTCAAATTTGCTTACAGAGCATTCGCGGAACCAGACCGCACTTGAGGTCCCACTCAATAAGGCTTCGGTTAGGGTCAACATTGACATAAACGGTTCACTGGATCTTACCCAGTCATTTTTCGCAACGTTTTACGTTATTTTAAGTTCGGAGGGAAGTGATGTTATGTCTTAACGTCTCTATCCTCTGCCAATGACACGCTGGCACAGTAACACATATGACCGACCGTCTGACTCAACTTTTCCTACGAGGGATATAGACGACAGCAATTTGTGGCTCCCATTTTCAGGGATACAGGTCACTGGAAGAGACATCAGTCTGAATACTACGTCTCCCCGCTATCTTGGCAGGCGAAAGGTGTGCCGTAACGAGTGTTGCTATGCCGTTATAATTTCGGGATATGCAGGGCAGCGCGCCTGTCAATTAGGTACTGGTCAGCATAACTGCCGACCAGAGTATACCTATGCTGTCTCACCATTTGGGCGCTTTGGTAGTAGAAATATCATCATGACACTATGGTCAAATCGCGTTAATATCATCGCCAACTCCTGGTAATTTTTAGCCCGAAAAGCCACCGGTTGATAAAGCTTCGTTTCTGTCGTCAGGAGAACTATCCCTTGGGCTTCTTGGGGTTATCATAGATGTCTGCCAAGGCTGAGCACTGCGAGGAGGTGCAAGTCATTCTTAGCCGATGAACATATAGCCCGTGCAAATAAACCTCCCCCTGGGCCTTGATATATCCAGTCTGATGAACTCCATTGAATGGCCAATAGTCCTGGATTAGTCTTTGGGTAGGCGTCGCAAGGCTGGAGTCTATTAATCTTAATGGTAGGGTGACACACGGGCCATCGTCCGACAAGTCTACGCCTTGAACGCCTCAAAGGCCACAAAGCAGCGGTTTACCGGGCGTCAAACTTTGGTTTCCTGTCCAACCAGCCCATATTCTGGGATTTGCTGGCCAGGCTGACCATTTGGTACACATAACTACTCGTGTAGCACAATATCATGAAGTTCAATGGACATGATTCTCCTCTAAGGAAAGTACAAACTTTCTAGTGCCCCGTTCAACAGCAGCACCCTCTTACTCGGGTATATATGGACAACAACTATAATCTGAACTCCGCTATATAGGATAGTCCATCTCCCGGCTACAGCAGTTTTCACATCATTTATCTCTCCATCTACCTCATCATCTCGTTTTGCTTCCTACGAGCTCTTCAACCAGCATCAGCTATCCCACCATGAAGACCAGCCTTATCTCCATAGTAATCCTTGCCGCAGTTGTAACTGCGGCTGTTGAATCCGGGGGACACTATAATACAAGCGATCTTCCCGAGATCGTGGTTACGCCTCCAAGTAATGACAATAGGCCTAGTGACAACACCGTCGGGCCGAATAATGATAACCTACTGGGACAAAATCGGATACTCTACGGTGTAAGTCATGGGATCAGTGTGATTATAAACCCCGCAGCTAATGTGTGAAAGATATGCGATACTAGGACGCGTAAATCGACTTGCAAAAGGAAGGTTGGGGACCAGTGGGTCAACATCAAGTGTCGTAATAAGGTGAGAGAACTCTCCAGGCTATTTCCTGCTAGACATATGTATTAACCCAGCAAGTGTACGGAGGGATCCTGTCGCTTTGACTCATCACAACGTAGTGAGCCTGCGGAGTGCGGCATTCCCAAACAAGGATGATGCTTTTCCGACCATTCCAAAGTATGCAAGGGAGAACCATTGATGAAGACACTGATGTAGGTCTTAAGGAGAAAGAAGGTTTATCATGGAGTCTCTAACATGCTCAAGTTTCAGGCTATGATGGTGTGACCTAGGCATGTTTCATCACTGTGAAGGCTGGCCGTTGTATCCAACCGTTAATAATTTTTAGGGGACTCTGCAAGACATCTGTGCGTCATTAGCATAGGCATGTACTGTACACCAAATGTCTCAGAAAGGACGGTGGTCCCCAAAGCTATGAGATCTACCGATATCACTTCCACTATTGTAGCCGTGGTAACAAGCTAGGGATTCTAATTTTCGTAGTTTTGCGAAATCCTCGTACATATAGCAACGCCACATAGGAGAAGAAGAGCTGATTCAGTGTGTCCATCGCGTAACTTACCCTATGTAGTGAGGTTGAGTCTCAATATACTAATTCCGACGGTAATACGCAAATCCTTATGCTTATATTCTTGTCAATATAAAGGCGTCGGCATTCTCGTAACTGCACCTCAATAACATCCGCTGCAATCAATCCACAGGCTATATATGGTACCAAGCTATGGCCTACAAGTCAACCATTTCTACCAGACATCTGATAATATCGCTTTGCAGTCGCGCGTCGAATACGCTTTCCATACATGATCATGCCCAACAATGTCATTGTGACTCCCAGGCTGATAAACCCACAGGCGACAAACATCTTAGTCAAGCCGCTATGTTCCATCCAAGGGCTGATGGCAAATGGTATGCCAATGCTAAAAGCATTGCGAAGGAAGGCCACTCCCGTGAACGCATCGCCTGTTATCTGATAACTTGTTTAGCATGAATCAGCAGTGAGGGACACGCCAAGCTGCGGCTTACCTCCATATAACTATCGATAACTAAAGTTAGACATGCATCGCTGATACTGCCGAGCCCGAATCCAAAGAGTGCTCCTCCGATACTGGGTAAAATCCAGTGCATACCCTGCAAGATGTCAGTCCAATGCTGGGTAGTAGAGCACAACGGCTTGAGAGAAAGGAAAGCACGGGACAAATTCATTCGCGATCAATCGCGCAGAACTAAGGAAGGGAGGTCGCCTTTGCGAAACATACTCTGTCAATGGTTACTCCAAACATAATGAGACCACCGCACAAAGCCACTGCCGGGAGGTGTAGAATGTACAGGCGCATCTCTGGCTCGTAGTATCCGGAATTCCGTCGAGAAAAGTACTTAATCGACCAGTCTCCAAGGAAGCCACCGTAAAACGAGCCGATCAAGTTACCAATGAACGGACCAACACTCATATACCCGATTTGCTCGGGGGTGAACTCATATGGAGGAAGAGGGAATACAAGAGCGAGCACACTGGAAAGGATTGTAAGCCATATCACTCCGCATGCATATTGCAGACCACAGCAGAGGACCGCTGGAAACGTAAAGAGGATCTCGATGGGGCGAAAGAAGTAAGGCCAGATGGGCTCCGGTGTATAGGTTACCAATGACAGTCTCTGAGTCCATGTCTGCATAGGGATCGTGTGATCTAATGGAGGACCACTGACGCTATGCTCCTCAGCTCTGGTAGCGCTTTTGATAAGTGATTTGTTGCTAGGCTCATCACCAGAAATTTGGTGCACTCCGTTCGCAGGCCTAGCGGTGGGTGTGACTCCTTCGATCGTAGGAGTATACTTTGACTCCTCGTAAAAGACGAGAAAAAGTCCAAATATAACCGCATTAAAGATGCCCATGGTACGGTAGGACCATCGCCAACCCTGTCTTGTTGCCTGAGCCCCAGCAGCCATAGGGGTGAGAAAGCTCTAACATGATTTTAGTAGAGTGAGTACGGAAGTCGATGAAGAAGCCTTACTCCAACCATCATCATGGTCATGTACAACGCATTCATTCCGCCACGGTGATGGACGAAGAAGAGGTCTGCAATCTGATGATAAGAGTTGTAAGCCCATCGTTCCTGGGGAGAGGTTACTGGAAAGCTCACGGTGATCTGAGCAATCGCCTCATTCGTTGCTCCAGCGAGGCCCTGTAGGAGGTTGGTGATATACAGCTCCGCGAGGGTTTTAATCTCTGCTCCCCAAAAGGAGGTGACCAGCATGAGCGCCGTGGAGATTAAGTACACTGGTCGTCGGCCAAATTTCTTCGCAAAGGGAATGAAAAATACACATCCCACTGCGAGTCCAACGAAGTTAACCGACATAGCATTGTTTAACTGTGCGTAAGTAACGTCTAAGTCGACCACCATCAACTGCCAGAATATCTGTTGGATGGAGAGCCTATTCAACGAAACCAGATTAGTTCGTTCGTTCATGGTATATAAGACATTAGGGGACCACAGACGCTGTGAAAATAAGACAGGTTACTGCTAGTACGAGGGTGAAATTGCATGCCTTGCGTGCAGTGCTCCAATTCTGGATTCCTCATCAGTAGGCGACGTTCCTGTCGGGGAGGCCAGACTTACCAATGGCTCGTTAGGGTCACTGGATGGAAATGGGCTCAGAACAATCCCTCGTCGCCCATGAGTCTCATCTCTATCATTATCTACGTGTATGTCAGAGGGTTTCCCGTCGAAGTAGAAAGGACCTTACCTTTGATAAGAAGAACAGTTCCTGGGGGAGTATCATGATCGGTTAAAGCAATTCCGGACACGTCGCCGTCCGCCATCAATAACTGCTGCTGAATAGACGTGGTATACACTGGAAGCTGAAGGTTTGTGCTGTTCGATCATAGATTACTTCAAGGACTGGCGTTCATAATAAACAATCTGTCCCATGGCTATTCTGGTCTCCTATCTGGCCCCGTTGCCACTAGGATATGGCTGATAAGAGCTTGATGCCACAAACGCAAGCATTGAAATGCGGGGAAGCCAATAAGGATCAGCAACTGATAAAGCCCCCGACGTAGCCGGGGTCTAGGCAAAGGTTAAGTGAACTTATTTCATGTAGAAAAAGCTGAGAAGCCGAAGTTGGGTCGACCTGCCTAAAGCGGAATCGCTTTAGTGATATCTCTTCGAGTCGATCATCCACCGGCTCTTCTTCCATTTGTTCATCACGCCGAGCTGGCAGGTTTGGAGATAAATAGCTATAATATGAGCCTCGATAAAGGTCTGCGCATTATTTCGGCATCTACAGTTGATACGGAAGCCGTACTCCAGCGTTAAAGGACTCTCTGCATAAAACTATATCGGTTTCAGAGAACGGCAACGTTCCATGTGCACCAGTTATCAAATTCATACTTGAATATAGGATCACATGGCCAGCCAATCCTCTTTAGCACTATTCGAAGCACAGGACGGTAACTCATTCCCATTTGACCTGAGAGCATAATGGCCAACACGGCATACTCACAGCTCTCCTATCTAGACCCTTCGTCCGTATCGGCGGTCGCCCAGACGATAACCCTTTCATTCGTCGGAGATCCCTTGATCCGATGGCTGCGTCCTAGAGCAGGCCCCTGGTCAACGCAACAGCATGAAACGAACAAATGGCAATATCGTCGCGTACAGCAAGCAATATTAGAAGGCATCGTGCTCCGATCTACACCAGCAACACAGTTGGCACAGGAGATTCCGACAGGCGGCCAGCAAAAGAATATCCCAGCTTCTATCCGCGGAATGGATGACGGGAATGAGGGACCTGAAGCGGGAACAGTGGCTTTCTTATTTCCTCCAAAGGGCCCACAAACATGGACATTGAGCAAAATGGTCCTTGCAGTCAAATTGTGGTTCCTGAGCTGGTTAGACCCAGTCTCGGACAACGGGGCTGATGAAAAGGTATGCGGTTATCGCTCCACCCTTTTCAACAGATTGAGGATGTTTTCCTAAGCCTTTGCAGCGCGTCGAAATCCTGCTCGGCGCACATGACATGGCGCTGAAGATGATAACAAACCGATACAATATCCAAGACCCGTGGTATTTAGAAGTCGTAGCAGTTCATCCCTCCCTTCAGGGGCGAGGGTTAGGAAAAGTTATGATGGAGCGCATCCTGGATTATGTCGGCCATGCACCAATCGTTCTGGAATGTACAGCTGAGCGGAATGTAGGATTTTACACCACATTTGGGTTTGAGGTTGTCGAGAAAGTCGAATTTGCTGACAGTGGTGGAGCTGTCAGTTGCTGGTTCATGCTACGGCGAGCGACGCAGAAGGAAGACAGTGGTTCATAGTAGTTGCCAGTTTCATAAGTGCTCAGTTATAGAAGCCCAATTTCCATTCCACGAACCAAAGCGAGTTCGTGCGCGTTTACCATGTTATGGTGGTGTACCCACCATTCCTCAAGGACCTCTAATAATAGCTCAAAATCTCTCTCAAATCCATATGGATGGTCATATGTGGATAGACAACATCGAAGCACATCTTTAAATTCAGGTTGCGCATTGATGATGTCTGCCTGTAGCCCTGCGATAAAGGCAGGATACTTGATCGCGTTGATAATCAACGATCCAGCAACCTCTGTCTCGGTAAACGCTCTACGAAGGGCGTCCAGATGGCTCACAATACGGGAGACAATAACGGTAGTGGTCGGTAGGATAATGGGGCGACTGCTTGCCCCATTCGCTTCCACGGTGGTTCTTGTCAGTGTGCCACTGAGTTGGGAAATCAACAGTAAGTGACCGTCTCTGATAGCCAACATCCCGGCTAGTCGATACGCTTCCCACAGCTGGTGCTGGGATAGACTACCTGGACTACCCGGCCAGTTCCAAAAGTCCTCCTCAGTAGCCCCATGACCAATACACGAGATAATATCTAGCAAAGACCTCGGCAGGCCACTGACCACCTCCACTTCGTCCCCGAGGGGGTGCTGCAAGGACACTCGGTCGCGACAATGCTGTCGCCAGAAGCCAAGAGAGGTGCTTCGACCCACGGTAAATGTTGGTAAATCCATGACTCCCATCACTTCTAATAAGTGCGTGCGGAATTCCGTTCGCTCGCCGAGACCATACAGTCCATGTGCCTGCAGGATACCGTACATTCCGTGCAGGTGCATCGTCCATGGCATGGCATGCATAAGCTATAGCATAAGCCTGCTGTTAGCGCGGCATGGATATACAAGTTGATTTAACGCACCCCAATGCTGCAGAGCAGCAATCCCGCCGTGAAGGTGCCATCCTCCAAATATGCCACATTGCTTGATAGTTCTGTGCGGAACAAATTCAAGGCTAAGTCGAAATGTTCATAAAAGTGAGGCTTCGCATTTGGCTTGAGGGAAGCCTGTAGCGCCACACAGATTGCGTACAAGGAGCTTGACTGTTGACACAAGATCGGCAGCCTCGATTCGAGGAGATTTCGCTCATCGTTGACCGAGGTTGAATGAAGGATATTGATTCCATACGAAAGAAATTCTTCAAACAATCGATCTTGTTCGTTCGATCGTACATCGGCAGTCCGTTCGGCTACTGTTTCTACCTTAGTCTTGTGTTACGACGAACGAGAATAGTGACTGGTGCATGTCCAACTACCTGTGCTACCTCGCTGGGGACGATAAGAACCTGCCTCGGCCTTACCATTGCCGCCGTTGTCACGCTTTCGGCGCCTTTCTCGACTCAGATCGCGTCGCCTGCCTTTGACTCGAGGAGGAATGGAAGCCTCCACTGGCTCTTCGGCGCCAGTAAATCGGCCACGCGACGCAATGCCAGTTCCCCACCGTAGCCTTATCTCATACCCTTCGCAGGAGACTCCACGGCTACTGCACGCCTTGCATATTGGTCGGGTCCGGTCGCATTTCCTCCTGACTCGTTTACAGGTCCAGCATCCGTCGTGAGACCGATGGCGTGGGGTCGACATGCCGAACAAGGAAGTTAAACTGATCAGGATCAGTTCGATAAAGAGCTCCTGACTTAAAACCGCACAGTAAGGGGGTGGCGGGCGAGACCAGGATTGTGGGGCGGACGATTTATCGTTAAGGGTGGAGTTTTTATCAGGCCAAGTGGAGTTCATGCGATTCTTTTCCGCAACGCGTCCACCTTCCATATATGGTCTAGAGCCTGAGGCCTCCACATTCGCTCGTTCACCAGGTTGAACACTGGAATGACTGAGTATGGGGTGGCAGTAAGTATGACTTGGATAGATCCTCGGGTTGACTGATTTTGTTATAGTAGTCGTAGCTAGATTCACAATCCTAAATAAATAAATAGTGTATGGTATCCATTAAGTTAGTATATCACCTTTCGGCCAGATATATATATTTCTCTAACCCTAAGAAGCAGTAAGTACTACTACCTTCCTCAGCAATCATGTCGTTCCAATCTCCTGTTTCCAAATGTTCCACTGTTCTTCCCTCCCTCGGAAGGTTGGAAGGCTTCCAATATGCCAATGGTGTACAACAGTACTGTGGCATACCTTACGCGTCCCTTGAGAAACGGTGGACTCGATCGCATTTAATGACGCAGTGGCCCAACAACTACCACGATGGAACAAAACTCGGGTATGACCATCGCGCAAGCTCCGATAGGACTCAATGGCTGATTACACACGCAATATAGAAGCGACTGTCCCCGACCGAGGATTGAAGGAGATGACTCGGATGATCTCGTACCAGTTCCTCCAACGGCCCATTTTGGAGTGCCTCGAACGGACGAGTTGTCGGGACTCGTGATGAACATTGTCTTGCCTTGCACCCCCGGATCAAAGAAGTTTCCCGTCATGGTGTACGTTCATGGCGGTTCACTACTGTACGGTGGTGCTAACCTGCCCATCTTTGATGGCGTCAATCTCGTTTCTCAAAGCATGGAAATCGGGATGCCTATCGTCTGCGTCAACTTCAACTATCGAGTCGGATTAGGTGGCTTTCTTGCTAGTGTGGCAATCCAGGAGGAGCTCCAGCGCGATGGCCATCAAGGCTGTGGGAACTTTGGATTTACCGATCAACAAGTGGCATTCGAATGGGTTCAACGTTATATCGGCGATCTCGGTGGCAACCCTGACCGGGTTACTGCCGTCGGAGAGTCAGCAGGTGGCATCTCCATTAGCAACCAAATGGTAGCAGCGCATCCTCCTCCGTTCCACCGTGCGGTCTGCATGTCTGGACTCTCAGTCTCGATTCCAGCGTGGACAATGGAGCAACACGAGGAGTTGTTCCGGGCCGTCTGCCGTCATTTCAACATAGATCCATCACAATCAGACGTTTTGGACTGTCTACGGCGTATATCCCAGCAGGAACTAGCCAATGCAACTCCGATCATACAAGGTGTTCTGTCGGGCACAGGGAACCCATGTCTCGATGGTTGGTTCTATGGCCGGGACCCGCGCGAGATACATGAGCTACCGCAGTGGGTTGAAGCTTTGATGTTAGGAGACACCTACCACGAAGGGGTTATCTTCCACTTGAATCTACTGAACGACAGTTTCGCAAGTATTCGAGACACACTAAATCAACATATGCCCCTTGATGAGACTGATACTATCTTGGAGGAGTATGAGATACAGCCTGACTTACCACAGGATGTCCTCCTGAGACGGGTAGAACACATGTGTGGTGATGTAGTTTTCAAGATTCCCAACTACGCGACGGCACTTGCTAGTCACCGTTTGGCAAAGGAAAAGGCTGTGTTCGAATATCATTTTGACCAGCGTTCTCGGCTGAAAAACGCACTCGAGGGAACCGCGTACCATGCTCATGAACTTCTTTACCTGTTTGGGAACCTGGACAATGAGCTCTCTACGGAAGAGCGCGCAATGGCGCGCGACTTTGCTGGAGCTTGGATCAAATTCACTTACGGCTATTCACCATGGGAAGGTTCGGGGAGACACTGGAAAGTGTGGGGTCCTGAGTCAGTCCAGGCAGTAAAGAATGAAGAGGAGGACGAGGAAGCTCGGTCATACTCGCGTATGAAAAGGCTACTGGCGATGGACTATGGAGAGATGTGGAAACGGTGGCTGAACGGAGTAGACGCCTTGGTGAACAAGCGTATGAATATGGGGAAGAATTATCACTCATAATGTTTGAATTATTGTTACCAACCGAGACACACTTAATCTTAGCAGAGATGTTATATTACTATACTATCCCACGAGAAATCGAGCCACGACTTGTAATTTGTATGATGATATAATATCCACTTCTAGAATAGAAATTCAAGTGAAACAATCATTAAGCAATCAGTTGATGTACTATGGGGGATAGAGTGGTTAAATTGGAACATGATCGATCCAATCTGTATTTGACATGCTGACATCCAATGCAGCAGTGTTACAAATTTGAGGCCCTGTCGCCAACAAATCGTGTCAACCCAGCTTTCTTCAGTCTCTCTTCAGTAAGCAGCATCTGCTCTGGGAACCAAGATAGATAATCAGGCTTCAACTGGTGCTCTCGATCGCTGGCCAACACCATCTGTGCCACAGCCTTTCCGCTTAACCAGGCCTGCACCATACCTTCTCCGCTAAATCCACAGCAGACCCACTGAGCACCGTCAGCCTTTGTCGTTTCTGCAGCATGGCTCACAGACGATGGTAGCTGTCCGACCCACGGAAGGCCATCACTACTGAATCCCATGTTTCCTGTCCACATATGTTCCACACACGAACCTGCGACGTGACCCCAATTCTCATGGCCGAAGACCGCACTTAACACACCGGACAGATGAATATTGCAAGGCAGGCTCAGTTCAGAGTCGGTTGCGATACCCAGATCGGCAAGCCCACCGTTTCGACCTTGAGCAAAGCCACCACCAAGCATCATCTTTCCGCTGGACTCGCCTGCAGGGGGTAATTGTGTCAGGTAATCGAAACCGCGGTCGTAGTTGAAGAGCCATGAATGTTCTGTTGCTTGACAAATAAATTTAGAGCCGGGGTTTTGGGCGGACATCTGTCCTCGAACAGGGTAAACGTGGCCTCTTAGCTCAGGGACAAGGTGTCCAACATGAGCGTTGGTACAGTGGATAACATTCCGGGCGCGCAGGATTCCTCTCGGCGTCTGTACGGTATACCGTAAAGGTGAGGTGGCGTCAGTCGAGACTTGAACCACCGGCGTGTTGGTCTCGATTAGAAAGTTTCCTGCGTTTTTTCGTCGCAGTTCTTCCAACACACCGGTGACCAGTTTATAAGGCCATAGGGCTCCGGCTGGTCCTGCAACAACCCCCATAGCATGGGGAAGGCACCATTCCTGAAATTATATCGTCAACCTTCAAGCGCTCTTCCAATAGTACAAGGCTGCAACAAACCTTGGGGATTTCGCTCTTCTCAAGTAATTTCCATTCGGTTGATTCTGTAGGCATGCACCTCTTGAACCGTTTGATGCGTTGCACTGCGTCACGCCACCTTTCTTCATCGAAATACACACTGAGAAACTCCACTTTTCTCGCCTGCGTTTCCTTTGTTAATCCATACTTGTCCGCAACCGTCAGAATCTCCTCCAGATGGGCCAGCCGGAACCGTGTCAATGCCTTTGCCGCTTCCAGCCCATAGTGTGCTTCCCAATCGGTAAACTCTTCAACCGTTTCCAGAATATGGCCTCCATTGCGACCCGTTGCGCCAGTGCAAGTGTCTCGTGCTTCCAGCATTACAACTGCGGGTATCCCCTTATCTATCTTACCAAGCTGGTCAGATTCCTCCAGCAGGGTGCGTGCAATCGAAGCACCTGTGATGCCAGACCCAATGATTACAACATCAGCCTCTTGAGGCAGGTCCGGCGATTGCATGTTGGCCAGCTGCGGGTGCGGATCTTTGAGCCAAAAGGAAGAGGTGCTCTCGCGGAGTGGTCCTGGTATTCCTGGATCGGCGAGAATACGGTGGAGGGCATCTTGTCTGTCCTTGATGGGAATGCCAGCGTCGGCGAGGAGAGCCTGTACAAATGCCATGATAGAAACCTTAGAAATAATGACCACAGAAAAGAATGCAGAATATTAAGCACAACCCAGAGAGGAGGCGAAGGGTTACTGTTTACAACATTATATACGCAAGCCGCAGTATATCAAATGGAACATGATGATGCATTTCATCCCATGTTCCCTAATTTCACGCCTATTGTCAGGCAATCCGCGGCGGTTCGCCAGCACCACGGCAGTGTATCGGCATCTCATTCTAGGGCGATGATATCGGTCGAGGCCCTTCACCTTCAGCTATCTGGCGTCAACCTGCCTTTCTGGACGTATTGTTACTCCAAGTGGGGGTGGAGAGACCAGCTGCCGTCGATCATTGCCGGGAAATAGCGTGGGCGTCGACCTTCCGCTTATAGCTAGTGAAGATCTAGTATAGATTGATATCGGCATGAGGGAATGCGCCAGGCATCTGCTTCACTCCAGGCACCCCCTTCAAGTATATTAAATAGCAGATTGAGAGCAGGGATTGTGAATCCAACATCATCCATTTCGATATCTTAATCAAGGACTCTGCCCAGAACAGCCAACATGACTTTGTCGAAGCCTGCTGACTCCCCAGGAAACGGCTTTTACCCCAATAGCCCACCCATGCGACGACCTGGGCTATCATTTATTTATCGACTGGAGTGCGACATTGATCCCCAAGAAATTGACGTCGGAGCGCCTCATGGGGCTGGAGTGATCCGGAGTGTTGCGAATATTGCCGGCGGGACCTTTAGAGGGCCGTCGATATCAGGGACGGTCCTTCCGGGCGGAGCAGACTGGGCAACGGTCATTGAAGGGACCCACGTAAGCTTCTCAATTCCCCAGAATCCACCCAGTAAAGCTCATACGATTCTTTAGTCCATGACCCTCGATGCACATTATACGGTCAAAACCGACGATGACTGTTATCTCTACATCCGGGCGCACGGTCTCTACCGTCCTGGCCCAGGCACCGAGTATGCGAAACAGGTCGAGAAGGACCCGGCCCTCCGACCTCCTCCCACTGTGACCCAAGATGACGTGGAATTCTTCTCACACCTGCGAATCGAAACAGGCCCAGGGAAGTACAACTGGTTGAACGGCTTAGTGTGTGTTGGAGTTATGAGCTGCGAGAACGATCGCATCCTGATTGATGCCTATTACTTGACCAATTTCGAAGATTCTCAGCCAGAGGACGTGATGGCACGGAGGAACGCCCGTTAAGCAATAGATCACTATGTTATCAAGAGATTGCCTCCGTATCTCCTCAGATAAGCCCGTAATCGATAAACCGAGGTATAACCATCCCAATGCGGAAGGTAGACGCGCTTCGGCCGGCAAAGGATTGTGCTCCGGAATAGTGTAGATGTTCTCCTCACGCGGAGCAACTTGGCACTAAATCTATTCGGCTATATAGATTGTCTTGGCCCGGGCCTTGTATCTTCACATCACTGACATTGACTAACAGAGATGGGCGAAAATACTGCGACAAAGTGCAACTGGGAGACCAGGGTGGCGGAGAAGCGCGAACAACTGGAGCTGCAAATTCCCCAAGACTGGCGTCTGAATGCCACATTTCTATCCACGCTCCCATCAAATGGCCACCTCGTAGAAGCGGACATCCCACGTCATAGTGGACTCCTCTCCGACGAGGAGTTGGATATCACGGAACAGTACACTGCGGCACAGTTGCTGCAGAAGCTTGCCTGGGGTGAGGTGACCTCGCTCGCAGTGACCACGGCTTTCTGCAAACGGGCAGCCATAGCCCAGCAATTGGTAGGTGTAATCGACCCGGTCAATGTCTTGTAGGGCGACCCGTAATACTAAGGGCTGCCTCCAGACGTCATGTCTGACAGAACATTTCTTCAACAGAGCGCTCGAGCGTGCACAATACCTGGATGATTATCTGAAGCGAGAGAAACGGATCATGGGCCCATTGCACGGCTTACCAATCAGTCTCAAAGATAGCTTCTGCATCAAGGGGATTCAAAGTACGGTGGGATATGTCTCATTCTTGGAGAACCCACCAGCGGAAACAAACTCTTCTCTGGTGGATCTGCTACTCGACTTAGGTGCGGTCCTTTATGTTAAGACCAATATTCCGCAGACGATGATGGTAGGTGCCTTTTCGGAGTCCTGGATTATCTTATCTGACACGTTATGCTTAGACAGGCGATTCAGAGAATAACATCTACGGTCGCACATTGAACCCACACAATACAAGCCTGACGGCCGGAGGCTCCTCCGGTGGTGAAGGAGCTCTCGTGGCCTTCCGGGGCTCAATCCTCGGCGTTGGAACTGATATCGCAGGCTCTATCCGAATTCCGTCGCTTTGCTGCGGTGTTTATGGGTTTAAACCCACCGCAGACCGTATTCCATTCGGTGGACAGGTGTCGGGGGCAATCGAAGGCGTGCCCGGCATAAAGCCCGCGGCAGGGCCACTGGCTCAGTCGTTAGATGACATCGAGTTGTTCATGTCAACTATCCTCAAAGCTGAGCCCTGGCGATATGACGTGACTACAATTGGGTCGCCCTGGGTGATGACTCTGAAATTGCCGTCGTTATTAACCATCGGAGTCCTCGGCGAAGACCCTGAATTCCCAATCCATCCTCCAGTGCGCCGAGCAATGGAGTCAGCAATCGCTGCATTAGCTAAGAAAGGACATAGAATAGTGCGGCTGGAATACGTGCCTTCACGAGGCGTGGCATACGCGAGTCGACTAGCCTTTCAGTATTTCACTTATGGACCACACGTCGATCACATCGCTGCCAGTGGAGAGCCATTAGTCACATCCGTCGCAAAATTAGCCAATCCAATGTTCACTGGGCCATTTCCTGTCGATCAGGAACTGGGAATTTTTGAGAAAATTGACGGACTCCATAACGCGCGAAACGCTTACGCTGAAGAATGGCGCAGGACATGGGTCCAACACGACATAGATGTTCTTTTAACACCTGGAGCCCAGAATACGGCCACGCCCCATGACACATATGGGTGGCCGCCGTACACGGTCATCTGGAACCTTCTGGATGTAAGTTCACAACTGTGTACGCTGAGATCGGTCTCTTCTCTCTAACGGTTTGCAGTACCCTGCGTGCATTGTGCCGTACAGCAAAGCTTCGAAGTCACTTGATCCAGACCCTATGCCAGTACATGACGGAGTTCAGCCGAGCTGTAGGTTCCCACCACACAGACCAGCGGACAATGATATGTTAACTCATTCTAGATGAACCTGACTCCGTCGATGGAGCTCCTTGTGCTCTTCAAATCGTAACGCCTCGCCACCAAGATGAGAAATGCCTTCTCTTTTCCCGATTGATCGATAAAGACATTCGATAACTAAATAGTTCTTTAAAAGGTGTCACAGGTGGTCAGATGTTAGAACATGAGCTTAGAATACAATGGTGTCTACCCACAGACCTTAACATTAGAATGATACCGGGTAATCGTAGTATAGACATATCAAAACGCAAGCCGCAGTTCTCTATCACAGGGTTCATTTATCTCAGTGGGCTGTTTTCATAGTATCCTCATCGGAAAAACGGAAACCAAATCTTGAATGCGAAATCTGCATCACATGAGGTGATTCTACGGTCAAAAACCATTTCGTATGGGTTGACTAAGCCCAGTACCAAAGGGACACTGTGAGTGATTGGGAAGCCTTTAATTGTCTCGTCACACCTCCGTCTCGCCGCACATATTGATCATCATCAGCCTCTACAGAGGTAACCCTAATATGTGTCATCTTCAGCGCCTTATAAGGTCCGAATCATGGTGCAGCTACAGATAGAGTCGCTATCTGGGGTCCCGGACCCCCGCACGCGGATGGCATGGGCAAGAGCCGCTGGTCTACTCTACAGAGACGACCGCACATCGCACAGATATACCCTGAAAATGCCGTAGCTATCCCATTCAGAATTTCTTCATGAAAACATGACAACACTCCCCATAGCACGTAGTTTGTCATCTCTGTCACACTTTATGTTAATTTGACATGTGGTAGAAAACAGATTATGCATGATAGCTGCAGCTCGGCATGAGTCTGTCCTTCCACAAAACACATCAGATGTACGTGAAGCCTCGATTGAGGTTACACCTTTTGGGTTGCGTTACTCCTCTCCTGGTGGGTGGTGATCCAGGTCGAATTTGGGGGTGATTCTGGAAGCCTTCGCCCGATGACTTCCTTCATGTCGTCCATGGTTTCTTTTTTGGGGCTGCTTATATCATTAAAAAGCTTTGTATTGGGGTGCTCCCCGGGAACCCACTTCTTCCGTGTGGTTTTAGATGTCCTCTGGGATTGGCTCGAGGCCGGTGTGGGTATTCCAGGTGACTTTGAGCTCGCACGCGCAGATTTTCTCGTGGGCAATGTAGTTCTTTTCACTCCCTGTGACAAGGTCTGATCGACAGAATTCATGCGAACCGTGGGTAGGACAAACAGCCGATAAGCGGCAGCACATGCCAAGTAAAACTCGAGTAATCTGGAGATATCGAGCGTGTGGTTCCATAACGAACATACCGTGAGGTAGAGACCTTTTCCAAGTAACACAACCAAGATCAGCTGAACGCTCGACGCAGAATCCCATGTACGACACACAAATTCTATAGAATCACTCATCCAGATAAGCTCCGTTTCATAGCACGGGAAGCGACCATAACAGGTCTGTAACAACAAGCGACCCCAGGCAAAAGGCACTTTTATTCGACAATCATACTCGAATATATCTTGGGCAGTGGGCTCGGTGAACCTCTGCCATCCTTCGCGGAGGCACGCCTGGCAAGCATTGTTACCGCGATGGTGTTTGTTACATTCAACGTCCGTACAGTGAAAAAGGCGTGAATAACCATCAAGAAGCACATTTAGCCGGTCAACCCAGAATGACCTAAGGTTCCCATCGTCGTTATACGGATCCTTCTCTATAAGCCACCGCGACCAAGAATCCAGAATATCCTGCCCATGCGCTGCCTTGCCCAAGAAGTACTCCCTGTGTTCCGCTCCACAAAAGCAATTGGGCTTGCACCGCAAATTTCTGAGTTCGGCGTGTGCTAGTCTCTCGAGTAGTTTATAGTCTCGCAATGCAGGGCTTTTTTTGGAGCTCCACCTCCGTAGCCGACATTGATTCTGATGCTGTTGAGTGCGCACTTTCACATTCCCTGAGTGTCCGATTTTATAGCACGGGCTCTGGGCCAAGGGATCATAGAAAATATATGCATAACCTTTCTTCGAATCTTTTTCTTGGGGTGGAGTCCACCCGCAGATCACATCGCGGATGGCGAATATGATTTCCTCGGTGCTACACAAGTCTGAGATACGTTCTGGTCCAGTTTGTCTCTGCTCCAATCCATGATCGGAAATGTCCGTCCTTGGTGTCTCTTGCTGACTCGGTAAAGAGAATGGCGACTCTGTTTCATGTGTTTCATGATCTGACGGATCGACTGAGTCGGTTTCCATGCTATCTGCAGACACCGAAATCAGATTTTGTCCATTGTTTTGAGCATGACTGGTCGACGCTGGGACATCCAGATGGGTGGTCACTGAAGGAATCCCTTTTTCATCCGGCTCATCATCCGGTATTTCTATTATGGGCACATTTTCCGGAATCCATACTGGTCGCTGTGGGGAGGTCTGACGCAAGATGGGGCTTGAACCATCGGGTGCCTTCGATCCTCGGGAGCAATGCTCTAAGAGCGATCGCTGTGGGTTTCGGTTCAGACTTTCTTCCGTCCCTTCACGGAGGTAAGCCTCTACCGTCTGGTCTCTGGTCGAGACACATGCGTGCGATGATTGGCTCCGTCGCGACAGCTCTTTCGCTTGCCGTCGAACCGCTACGCCTCGCGTGGGACTGTCATCCACAAGATTGCCAGTGGAGTCGCTTTCATCCTCCAGAAACTTTTCGACTGAACCTGGGGAAAGGTCAGAGAACGGTTTATCCTTATCGGAGTACGGATAGGAGCGTAATGGGGTGGAGAAGGCCATTTGTCGACTAAGCCCTATCAGGCGATGCGGGTGAGTTAGTAACTTACTAAAAAATATCACCACGACAACAGCACGTCGGGGCTTATTATATTCACGAATCGACCAGGGTCACGTATTCCCCAGAGTATCCTATTTTATAACCAGGGCGGTGTTCTACTCTGACAGAAGGCTGTGTTGCTGATCCGAGCCTTGCGTGATAGCAAGGCTACTGGCATGTTTACTGGAGGGATATGGCTTGGAGCATGGATGTCGAGGTCACGAGGATAGTAGTTCAAACACTGGTCGCATATCTTTGCATGCGCACTTTGCCCGTTCTGATCACCAGCGCATATTCCTCGTTGGCTCGCTGTGGCTGAGTTGGGGAATGTAACAAGACTAAGAACGAAGATGCAGTACAATTGGAGATGGAAGGACGGTAGGAGATCAAAAGTCCTCCGTCGCTATGCCCGAATAGGCACGTTTGCGAGTCATGTTCTGTTTGCAACGTTTGTCTCTTAGACGAGCCTGAGGCAATGTTTCGCTCCTTTTTCTGTTCTTTAGGTTGTCGTTGATTATTTTTAGTTCTTCTTGCTCTTTTTTTTCTTCTCTCGTCTTGTTGCCCAACCCCTGCTAGTCCCGTTATGGAAGGTAACATTGTACTTAGCAGTACCTGGTAAACGATATGGTAAAAGGATGCAAGGTAAACCTATTGTTAGAGATTTCCTTATCTCTCCTATTTTCCTTTTTTTTTTTCTTTTTTTCTTCAATTCCATTTTATTTATTCGCCCTTCCCCAGTTTCAAACCCAACATCCAACCACTGGTAACAAAAGTAGGGCTTAGCCACTGGACCCTGGGATCTCGGTTCTCGATCCGCCAAGTGCTCTTATCTGATCCACAACCAAAAATCTACCCACGGTCATTCCTTTGGCTAGCAGCAGAAAGAAAGATCGGGACCCCCGCTCCCCATCAGAAGTACTAGATTTAGTATTTACACAAAACCCCTGATACGCTGTCAAGCCGGGTGGGTCTCTTCAGGATCGTCTTCATTGCCAAATATGTATTTCAACTTTTAGTTCTATTTACATCGCTCGTGGTTTCATCGTGGAACCATATCTCGTAAGGAAAAGGGTTGGAGTCGCCGGGCAACCACGCCGCGGGATGTAACATAGCCACGGAACGTCTCCGACATCCAGTGCGACGAGTTTGAACCGATCGCAATTGCCACAGCGATGCGAGGATGGTCTCCATCGTACCACCAGAGGGACCCAGAACACCAAGGGCAGGTCCTCGCGAGAACTTAGTTGACCCAGGAGTAACTGAGCACGGGAACCTCAAAGGGCTCCGCAGTACAAGTCGCATTGAAGAACTCATCATGGATGCAGTTCAAAGTGAAATCGGTGCTGCCGGAGTAGGTAATCTTGCTACCATTGGCGCACTCCAGCGCATGGCCACCGCCCAGCACGTAGTCCATATGACCAGTCGACTTCTCCTCGTTGGAGCTGCCGTAGAACGAGACGATCCGGCCCAGGCCGCGGTCTGCATATCCGCAGTTGGACTCGCCATGTGCAATGTCGTGAACCCGGTAGCCGATGTAGGTATCGCCGCAGTGCAGGCCATCCTCAAAGTCGATGGCCAGCGTCTGGGGAGGGCCGTAGCCCCAGGGCTGGTAATTGGGCATGCCCGTGTAGCAAACGTTAACCATGGTGCCATTGCACGTGTCCGGGTTAGGTTCGCACCAGTCCCGGCCACAAAGACAGCCCTTCGCGTTCTTGTCGACCTCGCTGTGAATGCAGTCCAAGCTGTGGGAGCCATTGAACCAGCGGAAGTCGTCGACCTTCCATGTCGGAATCGGACACCCTTCTGGAGGGGTGATAGAGCGAGGAGTGAGGGATCGTGTCTCGACAGACCGAGCGGTCACCGAGGAGGTGAGCGCCAACAGGCTAGTTAAGATGGCCGAGAACATGGTTTCAGCGAGGGTTGTAGTCTTAGAGTGAGATGAGTGAGGCTGCGCAGGATGAGGAAACTGTGATGAGCGATCAGGAACCCCGAGCAGCAATCCAAGTGCCTTTTATAGATATCCATGGTAGCATTGAATGGTTTTTGCGACCAAATCTAGAATTGGGGAAGCGAGTGGCTCAAGAGGATGTGGGCTGAAATTGGCGCAATGCAAGTCAGCCAGCGAGACCCTCTTCCGCTGAGACCGAACGAATAGAAGAAAAGGGGCGCGAGACAATTGTCTTTGGGTCACCCAAACCATTGGCGCGACCGCCGCGAATGCCGGGTCTTGGCAAATAGGGAATAACATCAGGTTCTTCAGCACGGAGCTTGGTCACAATTATCTCAGCATCACCCAACACCTTTTTGTCTTGCACCGAGACTCCAACCTGAACTGAACCCCAATACGAGGTCCAGGCCGTGACATCCGACCGTCTAGCTGCAGTAGCGCGGTGACTCCCGTTTGATGCAACGACCATATTCCCAAAGAGACCGAGGTCATTCTAAATTTAGCGCCATGTCCCTGATGGCTGCAGCATGTAGCCTGTTAACGCTGTGGTAGAAAAGCTCCAGTGACGTTACTCACTGAGAATATCAGACGGGGGAGAACTTCTCCTTGATCAACTGTTTAAGCAAATAGCCTTTAGCCTTGGCCCAGACTGACTAATCAGCCCTGATTTGAAGTTTTGCTCCTGAAGGCAAAGCAAAGATTTCTTCGAATGAGGGTTTGCGCTGTGCAGGAGGCAGTGACGTCATTATTCATCATTCCAGGCACGGCGTCAACCCTAAGAGAACGAGAACAAGAACGAGGATGTTCTTCCTTCTCTTCTTCTTCTCTTTTTCTTCTCTCGCCTTCCCCCTTTTGGCTTTTCTTCCTTGATGTACGCCCGGGGTAAATTAATACAGGATCACCCTCGCCATTCACTCGCGGGCAATCCTGCCCTAGGGACATCTTCGGTAAGTCTGAATCTTCCACAGGCGAAACGTCCCACCGATCGCTCATCGTACGAGAAGCGTGGGCACACAGCTAGACCAGAGACTATGCAGGCATCTGAGTGTCAAGTTTAGATCTGGGCCGAAATACTGACACGGAGATCCAATGAAGTAGTGGTCGACCAAAGCATCTATCTAGTTAAGGAGCCCTTGTGTGTCCCGGAGGAGTCGGAGAAGCACCTCTCTTTGGACTAAGAACGACACGCCAGATGGAGCATCCGGGTTATCATCGTGATCTGCTCCATGATTTACTAAAAGCGATGCGATCGCTGGACGAGTCGCATGCCCAAGGCCTATTCGAATTGCTGCGGGCGGATTCGTCCGTAGAACAACTTCGGTCTTACATTGACAAGACCTTGAGTGAAGTCCAAGTCTCCGATCACGATGGTGAGGCCATCAGTAGTCTCGAACGTCTCTGGGAAACGGTGGATATATCCAGCGGAGCACCGCCGTCTCGGCCCTCGGTGATGGACCTTAACTACTTGTGTGATATTACACCTTTCCGTGTTCCAGCCAAACCGTGGACTACGGTGACGAACGATGACAATCTGGTGTCCCATCTAGTGTCCTTGTATTTTACGTGGGACTATCCCTTCTATGCCTTCGTTGACCAGAAAGCATTCATTCGCCATATGACCCTCGGAAACGTCGACTCCGACCTTTGCAGCCCGTTCCTCGTCAACGCTGTTCTCGCAAACGCATGCGTAGGAACTCTCCTGCTCCCCCCTGGCTCGTTCCGGGTCATACTGACGTCACGGCATGGGACAGTATTATTCGCAATACTCCGAAGCATATGTCGTGCCAGGAGACATCGCCAGCCAAGGACGCAATTTCCTGGCCGAGGCGGAACGATATCTACCAAGCCATCAACTGGAAAAGAATGGCGGGGTTCGGCTAGCGTCATTGCAAGGGGCGTTACTCTTATATGAAAGGTAGGTGGCCATTTCCCCTGTGAGAATCATCTGGAGGGTAAACGTAACCGTCCATTCGGATGGGCACTAGATACGCCATGTCGGGAGAGGACGATCTCGGCTATACCATGCTCAATTTGGCGATCGAGATGGCGGAGGCACTTGGCATCATCAACCGGGAGCCGCTAGATCTCAGCAAATTGCAGCTGTCCGACGAAATGATCACCTCCGTGAAGCGAACGGCATGGGGCGTCTTCCAGGTCGACACGTAGGTCTCTCCCCATTCATGTTTGTCGGTAATTCCCAGTCCTTCTGAATCCGCGACACTGATGTCGCCGCGACGACAGGGTGGTCCATACCAACTTTTTGAAGCCCAGCCGGGTCTCCAGCGTCAGTCTCGACCGGATCGACCCGAACGAGACCGGTGCCGGGGACCTGTGGGTCCCGTATCCGACTGACAAAAGACCCCGACAGTCATGGCTCAGTCAATATTTCGATGAAGCCTGCAAGCTCTCGTATCTCGCCCGTGATATCTCCCGTCACCTCTACCATGAGACTACCACCCGGGCGGACCAATATCGACAGAAACAAGAGTTTTACAATAAGCTCCGGCAGTGGGAGCATGCCCTCCCAGACAAGTTCCGGACGGTTAAGAGATCACCGCCGCATATCCTCCTGCTAAGGTTCGTTGCTCGTCTTGTCACCACTGCACCGACCGTTTACTGAAAAGGTGGACTCCTGGATTTAGAATGCGGTATCATGTACTCCTTATTGGCCTGGCGCGGGATGGCTTCGGAGTCCAATCATTTTTCCTAGGGTCCGAGGAGCAACGACGGACGATGGACGAATCTGCCCACGCGATCAGTCTCGCATCCGCTCGCGAGATTTCGGCCCTCGCACGGATTCATCGTGAGGAATACGGGATGGAGCGCGCTCATCAGTTCGCTACCTATGCCATGATGCTTGCGCTCTTCACCATGCTCGATGACCCTTCCTTTGACATCCTCGGCCACGACTTCCTCTCGCTGACGAGTGCCTTCTCCATTACGGCCAATCGGTCCCAAGTGGGCCGCCATCTCTTCCACATGTTCCGCCAGTCCGTCCGATCTCGAAACCAAGAGGAGCGGGTCCTGCAGTCGGACGCGGTCTCCGACGAGGTGAAGGAGCTGTTTAGACGCCACTCGTCGTCCCAGTTGCCGGATGGGTGGGGCAACTATGCCGACGGGCTCGAACGATATCAGGGAAGCTTCTCGAGCGAGTCATGGAACTACACGGCCTCGGGGGTCCGTGACATGCTCGAAAAGTATGAACGTCTGAGTCTGGGGAGCGGCGACAATGTCCACTCGCGTCGGCCGTCCTCGCCGAACGCCGAGTGGAAGTCTTGATCGATTTTTCTCATGTCACTATAGTCGTCCCTCTCTCCATGGTCCGTTCTTCATCCGTAGTTGATGTACCGGCCCTTCATGGTTTCTCTTCCCTGGGCAACCTGCATTTCGCATGTATAGACCCGTATCCCCACATGCATCCGTTGTCTAGCGATCGTGTTTCTCCCTGTATGTTTCCTGCCGTTGTATATTAGCCCTTCTCACATTGTAAGATCTCCAATGAGACGACGTGGTGTCGCGGTAATTATTGGACTTGATTATGTGTGCGTGCTTCGTAGTTGTCCAGCTCACTACATTCTTGTGATGATGCGATCAGGGGCACTCCATGTGACCTGCAGAGGGAATGACGGACCACGTGACTGTCCAATTAAGACAGAGCCACAGGTGACTCTAGGAGAGCAGCCTAATGATCCGCATTTCATACGGCGATTGTGGTTTATCAATTTGATTCCCTGTTTAATCGACGTATAATTCTCCATGTAGTGCATTGTTGAGTGCCAAGTATCATACTTGATGTATCCAAGAACACCACCAGATGTAAATATATATATATATGTATCTACTCTACTACAGGTGGAAGTAAATTAGAGGCTTCTATAAATCTATGAATACATAAGTACTTTATTTCAGGAGTAAGGTTATATGATCAGGCACTTCCGATGACCATTGATGATTGATCAAGTTGTCTTATCACATCCCCATCGGACCCTCCGCTAAGCAACGATGGTCCCGTGGTTGTGCAGGAGGATTTGATTATCTCGGAGATCCCGCCGGGAAGATCATCAGCCACGGGAACGGAAAATCTTCCGAATGCCGAAGCAAAATGAATGACGTCAGGAACATCTAAATTCGTCCCCGCAAACAGTCGAAGATCCAAAAGTTAATCCGTTAAAAAAGAACAACCGGAGGACATGCGTGTGCCTGATCTCCTCCACCAGAGGGGTAAGGTTCACGCACGAGCTTCTTTGCGATCTGTGAAAAAACTGTTTCCTTTTTAAAAGAAAAGGGGGGAATTCAAGAAAATCCCCAAAAAAAGGTCGGTCGTTGGGAGGCAAAAAAGATAAGTAACCTTAGACCATCAGGCTCCCTAGTGGGTCTGGAACGGATAAGTCGGCAGGCACAGCAGAAAAAAAAGCAACAGAAACGAGAAAAGCTTCGTTACGGTTCCCTCATTTCGAATCATTTCTAAGCCACAGGCAGTAACTTTTCGTCATAAACTGCTGAAGGAAAAGAAAAATTTTTTCTTTTGGTCGTGTTATTTATTTATCTTCGGGCCGCCTGTTGTAGGTCAAGCGTGAAACAACATAAAACTCCTCCCACTCTCCCTACGGCGGTCAAGATGGTCAATGATCGGAATGGGGACGAGGCCATGGCCCAGAGCAAAGAACGACTGGAGTCTTCCGACTACGCCGAAAGACCCCCAACTTCCGATACAACCGATTCGTCCTCCACCACCAGCTCCGTGGATTATGACCCTCAATTGCATACCCTTCGCTCGCGCGCTACCGAGGTTGACCTCGAACGCCATACGACCAGGGCCTCAGATGCCCTGAGTCGCATCCACACCCAGCGCCTCCAACATGCCCTCACTGTCGGTGAAAGTGTCAAGTCACATCCCTCCAAGGCCCCATTGCCCCCATTTGGTGCCGGAAAGCCTTATCCGCCGCCTTTACCAGCGCGGGAGGACTACGTGGTGGAGTTCGACGGGAAAGAAGATCCCTTATACCCCCAGAACTGGCCGTTGAAGAGAAAGTAGGTGGTTGATTCCCAGGCTCGTTGGCGGTTCATTTGTTTTAACGGTCCTTTGGTTGTATAGAGTCTATATCAGTGCCATCCTCGCCTTCACTAGTATTTGCTCCACCTTCGATTCCGCCATCTTCAGCGCCTCCAGCAAAAATGTCGCGCAAGCATTCAGCGTCGGTCTCGAAGTCTCCACGCTGTCGAGTTCCCTGTATATCATCGGTTATGCGTCGGGACCCTTGATCTGGGCCCCCATGTCGGAATTGCAAGGCCGTCGCTTACCCATCGTCATCGCGATGATGGGATTTGGAATCTTTAATATCGCCGTCGCCGTCGCCAAGGACCTACAGACCCTCATGATCTCTCGTTTCTTCTGTGGTATCTTTGGCAGTTGTCCCCTGGCCGTCGTCGCTGCCGTCTTCTCCGATATTTACGACAATCGCACCCGTGGTGTCGCGATCGCCATTTTCTCGAGCACGGTGTTTTTAGGCCCCCTCCTCGCGCCGTTCATTGGTGGTTTTATCAACATGTCATATCTGGGCTGGCGGTACACGGCGTATATTCCGGCATTCATGGGGTTTTTTGCGTTCGCGCTGAACGTCTTCTTCCTGAGGGAATCATATCCGCCCGTCATTCTGATCAGCAAGGCCTCGGAACTGCGCCGTCGCACCAAGAACTGGGGCATCCATGCCAAGCAGGAGGAGATTGAGGTAGACTTCAAAGACCTGATCATCAACAACTTCTCCCGTCCGCTGCGTTTGCTCATCAACGAGCCCCTGATCCTCGCCGTGACAGTTTACCTCAGTTTCATCTATGGCTTGCTTTACTGTTTCCTGACGGCCTATACCCTGGTGTTCCAAGGGGTCCATGGCATGAACGCCGGCGTGGGTGGCCTCCCCTTGTTTGGCATGGTCGTGGGCCTGTTCATCGCGGCGGGCTACATCATTCTGACTAGCGGAGCGTACAACAAGAAGCTCGAAGCCAACGGGGGGATCCCCGTGCCCGAGTGGCGTCTTCCGCCGGTGATCATTGCGGGCGCGCTCTTTGCCGCGGGATTGTTCTGGTTCGGCTGGACTGGCTTCACCGATAGCATCCACTGGATTGTCCCGACCCTGAGCGGTCTCTTCACCGGATTCGGACTCCTGATCATCTTCATTCAGCTGTTCAACTACCTCATTGACACGTATCTGATGTTTGCCGCCTCGGCCATCGCCGCCAACACCTTCGTTCGTTCCTTAGTCGCCTCCAGCTTCCCGCTCTTCTCCCGGCAAATGTTCAACAACATGGGGATCCAGTGGGCGTCCACGCTACTCGGCTGTCTGGCGGCCATCCTGGTGCCCATTCCCGTCATCTTCTTTTTCTTCGGCAAGCGACTGCGCATGAAGAGCAAGTTTGCGCCCATCTACGAGAAAGCCGAGGAGCCGATGAGTGACGAGAATGAAATTGCCGCCGAGACCAATGGACCCTTGAGGGAATAAGAATAACCGGATCCCACCCACATACACAACTATGCCCCATCGTCTCCGTTTGATACCCAGGGCCATAGATGGTGTCTTAATGTTCTTCCCTTCGATAAAAGCAATATACCCCGAATTTGTATAAAATAATCTTAGTTTAGCATCTAATCTAATCATATCATTGCATCTTTTGTCTCATAGTAGTCAGGAAATAGACACCTTATCGGACGTCGAGATAGTTAATCCAATACAAGTAACCATCGAAACTACGCAGTCCGTCCACTCGTCCGAGCGATGGGAGTTGCAGCACCAGTACAGACTTGATCGCAGCATCAGACTGGGTCCTTACCACTTACATATATGCTTCCTACATCAATCAACACGTGATACTCTATATACAAGGTACAGTGAATCCGAATGGTTAACTGCCGTGTATTTTTTTTTTCTTTGCTTACGTGACAACATAATATCGCCAACTCTTAAGGCCCTGACAAGGAGTTGATGTGATACTTTAATCATTGCGAAAGCGGGTCAAGATAAAATTCATGCTTCAGTACTTACAATGACACCGAACGAAAGAATATAAAGACGAAGCAGAATCACTTAGTTCATAAGGCCTATCCCCATTCCGCCGGTGATCCCTTACGGTCAACGGGCCACCGGGGCGTACTCTCTTCGCTTAGCAGTTGTTGGAACACTCGCAGGCGGTGGATGTACAGCGAAAACATCGGAAGCCAAGTCGACCACAAATATTCCTGCATTGAGCCGGGGTCAGGCCTCCGCACGCTTGCACTGCGGAAGATTCAGAGGCTATCGTAGCTTATTAGTACACGCTCAGTACCGTAGTGGTAATGCTTGAGCACCTACAAGAACTGATGAAGACATCTTGGGGGAAGGACAGATTTTCCGTGGCTGCAAAGGACGTGGTGGACTCCGTCGCAGCGGCGGCGGCGAGAGTGGCACAAGCGGCAAGGAGAAGTGCAACCTTCATTGTAAGAGGTCGGTAATAGAAAGCAATGGTTGGGATGCTCGTCGTCAAATGAATATCTCAGTTGAAACACTACTGAGAGGAAAGATTGCTTGTAGGTGGGGCAGCCATTGGCTTTTATATCTCAAGCCAGGTATCCGGTGTGTGCATGTGCCAGATATAGCTATCGATATAACACCATTCCATCTGGTTAGACTTCTAGCTATTTAAGTTATGGTTGCATTAGTCCTCGTATCCGACATGTAGGCAATCCTAGGCCCACTGCATGCATCAGATGTGTCGGAGGAAGGTCGTCTGACCGAGCCTCTGAATCGGCTCGACACCTTCTTGCCCGCACTCCATATCAGGATTGGAATACCCATCATGCGTCAGTGGTGCAGCCCAATAACAGATAGCAGACAAACCTCGTACACAACCTCGTGTAAACATAACCTTTTAAACCCTGAGACGGTCTCATGATACTCCTTGGTTCGGACATGCAACACGGCATGAAGTTACCTGTAAAGGTTTTTCAACCTCACAATATTGATGTTGGACATATTGAACGTATTGGTATCTGTATCCAGATGCCCACCTGTTGACCTGATGCGAATCAAAATTCCACTGTCATACCATGAAGAGGTACTGTCATCCTGAATGCCATTGCTTTATGGGTACTCTTGTGTCTCCCCAAAGTATCACAGCTACTTGTCGGACCATCATATCTGACCTCTGCCCGTAACATTAATCGGTGACTGTTTTAACAGGTTCGGTTTGATTCGGCATGTGTACTTTCCCTTGCTCAGCGTCACCTACTAGTTGACTGTCAAGCATTTGTTTCTTGAATGACTGGGGGGCTATGCTGGCTCGATCACGCTGACCATGCTTCACTTTCTGGCTGTAATCGCCTATCATTTGAGGCTCTTTTGCCGTTGTACATTTGATCGCCCGGCCCTCATCAACCCCGCCGGTGATAACCTTGTGCCTTCTTTGTACTCTCAAAACAACTCTTGGGTAGTAAATCATTCGAAAGGGGACCGTCTGGTATGCATCTTGCATTTTGGGGAGATATGTATGTGCGGCACGGCGAATTCTCTGTCACAAGCAGATGCAAAGCAAGAACTTTGGGGTCATTGATGGTGGGTCATGGGCCACCGGACATTTTGCAAGCCCCATCTGGTACACGGTCACTTACCGAGTCCGTGCCGCAGAAGGAATGACCTGTCATCGCGACGCAACGGTGAACTTGGCATACTGACAGAATACGAAGCCGGCCAAAGGAATATGCACTGCAACGGTGACACCAACTGTCCTGGTCCTAGATGTCCAGAGGCCTCTTGGCTATGGTATATAATGGAAACCGTAACGTCGGACAATATTCCCACGTAAGGGCGATTGGTGGATGCAAAGCATCAATTTATTCGTTTAAATACTTAGGGCCATGGGTTGCACAACATTTTCAACCGCCGTGGGGCTAGTCCTACCCTCCCCTATTCCTTTTGATGGTGGGACGAATACGGCACGGCACACGGGACTGTCTCAAGAGAAATGGAAGAGATAGACGGCACTTGGGCTTCAGGGTTACATGCCTATCCCCTGACCGACTAGGATGGTGTCGACGTACTGCGCACTAGGCCAATACATGTGCTTTCCAGCTTCCCACTAAGTAGCTCATAAGAGACAAGCACCAGCCACAAATCCGTGCGCACGTACTGCCAGATATCTGTTTCTCCTCCTATTGATTATCCATGGGGAATATGTTTCGAAAAGCCTTGGTGCCATACTCATACCCCAGTTCCTTCCTTCATTGCGCGACAGGAGTTATATGCCATTGTTAAACCCGAATAGTCTCGATCATCGCCGTAACCAACGCAAATTAATATCATCATGACCGGGTGAAGTGATACATAACGCTATGGTCTGGGAGATCCAGAAATACCTACTCCGCCATGTTCAAGATGGGGATATATAGCTCATTCTCGTCGTTGACTGCTGTCTTATTCAAATAAAAGCCCTAAACATATACACATTAGGCTTAGTAAGGCCGCTGATGTACAATCCGCAAGTCCGCCACCAGTAGTCATACATTTATGTGCAAGTACTGTGTGGGTGAGTGGGTTAAGACATGAGCGTTCATCGCTCTATCGTTGATTCCTATATATTTCTAACAAGTAATTATGGTGACAGGGTCGATGCTAAAGTGCCGAGGCTAATTGTATAAATTAGACGCTGGACTTGGAGCGGGGAAGGCAAGAATTGCGTGATTCGACCCCATTTTCTTTTCTTATTTCCTTTGGAGCTCAAATCTTCCACCCTGGACACAACAACATACTATCATTAACCATGGCCACTAATGTTGAGCCTCAAGAAGACATTGAAAGGCCCCTACTCGCCGATTCCCCAGAGCCAAGCTATGAAACCGTAGCCGCGCCACCCACGGACACGTCGGATGCAGCGCCTCGCGCCACGTTTAGGCGAAATCTTGGGGCCGTAGAAGCATTTGGCATCGTCATCAGTATTGTGATCGGCAGTGGGGTCTTCACATCTCCTGGTGCGATCGATACGAATGTTCCATCACCCGGCGCGGCTCTCATTGTGTGGCTTGTGGGAGGGCTGCTGGCGTGGACGGGGGCGACCACCATGGCCGAACTGGGCACAGCAATTTCCGGTGAAGGTCTACATTTCTGACCCCAAAAGAGTGGGTATGGCCATGGGAAGCTTACGGAAATTATAGGGGGTGTCCAGCCGTATCTGCAGTATGCCTTTGGCGATATTCTGGGCTTCCTCGCCGCATGGACCTGGATCATCGCGGTGATGCCCGCCACGCTCGCTATCCTCAGCATTGTTTTTATTGAAAGTATATACTCTGCTGCTGGGATAACTAACCAGGCGTCGTCGATACAACACAAGCTTCTCTCGATTCTGGTGTTGATCGCGATCGGGGTGGCCAACTCGATCAGTACAAAAGTGAGCACACGGTTGAGTAGTTTCTTCGTGACGACAAAGTTTGTTACGATCACTGGCATCGTAGTTGCAGGCCTTCTCGTAGTGATTGTTCACTTGACAAGCACACACTGGGATGGACCAGCAACGGATTGGTACACCAAGTCGTGGTTTGGGTACCGTGACACCTTGAGTCCGGATGGAAAAGAGATCCATTGGACCGACCTGGCTGGATGGGAAATGCTCGGACACTATTCAGCTGCCTTATATGGTGCACTGTGGGCTTACTCGGGCTGGGACAAAGTAGGTATCCCCGATCTGCTAAGAGAATGGAAACAGTCGGACTAACAGCCAGACCAAGGCGATCTATATTACAGCAGAGTTGTCCGCACCGGCCACCCAGCTTCCCCTCGCCATTAATGCTGCGGTGCCCATTGTCATTCTTTGCTTCATCGCAGCTAATACAGCGTACTATATTCTTCTTCCGTGGAGTGTAGTGTCAACAACAGACAGCGTTGCCGTGGTATGTCCCCGTACTATGCCTCGTATGTTCCAGTCTAACTCTAGATGAGACTGCAATTACCCATCTCTTAGGTCCTATCGCGGGCATTATCGCAGCAGTCCTGATCTGTCTGGTGGTAGCTGGGTCCTTACTGGGAAATTCATTCGTCGCCGGCCGCATGATCGTCGCAGCATCTAATTCGAACTGGCTGCCCAAATTTCTAGGAATTCTCGGACAATTAGGGGTTCCATCTGCTGAGAATCGTGCGTCTGCGCATCCGTCCGATTTAGATACCTTGAGCAGTAAATCAGACGCACCGATCAATGCGATCGTCTTGTCTACCGCGCTTCCTATCTTCTACATTCTGTTCGGAGACTTTCGGGCCCTTCTAACCTTTAATGGTCTGGGGGAGTACACGTTCTTCTTGTTGACTGTCCTCGGAGCGATTATCTTGCGACTTCGGGAACCAGATCTGCGCCGCCCTTACAAGCCCTCTATTATTATTCCTATTACCTTTGCCATCGTTAGTGGATTTGTGGTGGTCCGAGGGGCGATTTTTGCCCCTGTACAAGCTTTAGTTCTGCTCTCACTGTGGATCATCGGAGTAGGATATTACGAGGTCCGGAGAAGATCGACAGTGAGTCGAAATGCACGAAACGCGACATCTGGAGATGTGTATACAGTCAGGAGGCACAGCGATTAGGTTTCATTGCCATTTAGGACGTCTACATGATAAGCTACAACACAGCTATGCGTTTCCTATGTAAACCTACAGAACGTTACGGTTCAAAATTTTGAGTGATAGGTCAACATCAAGGGCTCAATTGCCTAGTAGTACAGAAACAGCCCCGATCAGCTATGGGAATTCTAGCCACGTTGAAAAACAACAGCCTTATCAAGAACAAATAGGGCTGGAATTCGGCGGAGACACCGAGTTGGTAGGATTCGTCTGCGAGCAGCCAGCGACAAGTCCTCCCGCGGTATCGTCAACGGCTGCATTGTAAGCATCACCGCAGTTTGGATCACTGCCAATGTTGCATGGTTAGCATCAGGCGTAGGCTTAGCTAAAATGTCACCATGGGTTTAACTTGCCTGGCACCTCCACTAGCATTTTCGAAATATGAGCAGATGTCATGAGAGAAGCAGTCCTGTGTGTATACGTTCCCTAGCGCGGTGCCGGTGCAACCTGCACCACAACGGCCGTTGCAAGAGTAGCTATAAGATGACCACGCTCGTTAGACAGTTGGCCCTGAGCTTCACGACGCAGAAAAATACGTACTCCCCATTGCCTGCGCTGTTGGCACCATAATTGCTCCCAACCACTCCGACAAAAGTACAGGTTTGCCCGGCGCTATTGGTCCAGGTCGCCGTTGCTGATTCCCCGACTGTGAGGCAGGTAATAGACCGTTTGTCTAGGTTATTGGCAGGAGCGGAGGGTACAGCCATGCTGGCCAATGGGAATATGAAGAATATCGTATGGAGCAGATGCATTTTCGGGATTGAGGCGCTTCTCGGTGTAGGAGCTGAATATCTGCGTGCAAGGTACCTACCGTAGCGCGGCGCCAAACGCGTATTTAACTGTGCCGAGAGAAGCGATATTGCTGCAGGCTTCGATCTTCCTCAACGTCTTTTTCTTCTTTTCAAAGCTACGCCCGTTCCTGAACTAGCCCGGTGTTGTACTTTAACTGCACACTAGAGGCGTGGCTGATAGGACCCGGGGATATTCTCGGAGCCCTTATTCTTCAGACTTTACCTTTCTTAGGCTGTTGGCCGGTCGATATGCGGGGTCTGCAGAATTAGGGCATGGCATCATCTTTTAGCGGAATGGCGATCCCCCGAGCTCTAGCTTTCAATGGTTTGCCTTACAGCTGTTCCGACATCTTTAGCGCATTGTTCGCCCACTAGTAACATGTTGATGCCTCCCCACCGGCGCATTTGCCATATCAGGCACGGCATTTGTCTGGCTTGCTTTGCATTTGTTTTCTCTCAATCAGTGTCCCATTCGCGCCTCATAATTCCTCGTTAGTAAACTCTCTAACCAGGCCATGCAGATCAGGGGAGATTAGAAGAAAGCTGAATTTGGCCTACTTACATACTTACTCTATTATTGTGTGTAAGGAAAAGGGAGAGAGGAAGGGGGAGAGAGAAAGATGTGTGAATTTATTGACGACTGGTCTGCCGTAAAGTCTATATGGAGCCGAGCCTTGATGTGACAGTGGTCGGGAATCTACAGTAGAGATGAGAAAGCTGCAGGAGATAGACGATGGCAAACAGGGACAGTCAGACCCGCGGCACAACAAGCGCACGATAGTGGAAGTCGGTAGGGAAGTGCATGAGGCGGAGCATACGACACGGACACAGAGTCTTGGAACAGCAGAGATCACGCACTCAATTACAAACTTTGGGCTATTCAGCCCTTGGGAGTCGAGGGGAAGTCTTATATTATTCAGAAAATACGCTTATCCGCTCCTTGTGAATTTGTTTGGGATGCTGTTGGCTGAAATACGAGGGAAGATGTCTCGTACAGCAGCTTGACAGGATCTGCTCCGAAAATTCTCTCTTCGTGATGACGCGTTGCACATTAAGATTTTAACTGATCATTATAAAGCTCTCCCATCCATACCAATGGACCAACCATGCGATTCGAGCTGTCTCCTTGGTTAACAATTCCGTAAGACGAGGATACGCTGCTGGCCGAAGTTGGTTCCTGTCATAAACACCCATGGTCAGGAACATAACCAGGCTGATATCGTATATTCTAGTATGAACAGGAGAGTGACCGTGAAAGTACATACTGAAACGTTTATTGACATGAACATTGCTCATCATCACTGAGATCAGCAGGGAGAGGGTATAGATTCATGCTGTGCCCCCCCGTGCCACTAGTAAATACCTGTTTCACTCATGTAGAGAGAGGGGCTTTACAGAGAAATATGAGCCTATTCAACAACTGCCCACCCCATACCGCGTTTCTTATCTCTCTAATCTTAACCGTTGTGGGAAGCTCTAGTGTCTAGCAATATGAAACGTCTGGGATCCCTTCGCGTTGCGAGATCAGACATCTGTGCGCTCCCCAAGTTCCAGGACTGTTGAAACAGGCTCACGGACTCCACATATACATGAGGCTAGCGTACCTTGACCTCAGTGACTGTATTGTATGAGTATTATGGTTTATAGAAAGTCGAATACTCGAAATAAACATTCACTCGATCAATCACAATGGGGGACAAAGATCTAGACAATTCTGCTATTCTCATTCGTTTTGTACCGAGTCCTTTGCCTGCAAAGATATCCAGTGGCGGCGCCAGAGTAATTATACTCTGCTATTGCCGAGGCATGCATGAAATGATATCGCTAGGTAGTGATACTATACTAGTTAACGATGATCAACGGGTAGGTATACGCGTATAGTCGTATCGTTGGGACTCATTAGTCCCCAGGTATTATAATCGGCATGCGAAACGCTATGGATGTTTGCACTGCCGGACTCTCTAGGCATTTTCTAGAAGCATTGTTCGATCTCAAAATTGGGTTCGGCTGTCGGATGATCTTCGGATGCCCTTTTCTCTGGCATATTGTGGCTGAAATTTTGGCCCTGTGGTGGTGAAACAGGATCACCTCGGATAGATGAGTGATCGACATGGGACTTGGTTATACCACTGTCCATGTCCGCGAAGATCATGGGAATCCGTGTGCTCAGCTTGATTCAGTATGAAACATCTCTTTCAGGCGATCATTCATTCATTACCTCAGTCATCTGAGGTAAACAAATGCTCTCTATGCCGATTATGCCGTGGCTCAAAGGTATTTAAACATCCCAACTGCTACCCATCATGGGCATCATCAAGATCATCAGTCTCAGCGAACAAACACCTCATTACTTTGCTTTCCAATCTGTCTATCATTTTCTGAGGTTATAAACCAGATCTTACTTTGAAAATGAAGTTCTCCATCCCATCTGCATTGCTGGTCACTGCCACTCTTTCCTCCGTTGGCAATGCCACTTTCCCAAATATCCCGGACACGTGCTTGGAGATTCCTCAAGTCCTCGGCCAAAAGCCCTTCAAGTTGATGCAATACTTCCATACGCAGGTCTGTGAGAAGGCCAATTGTACTGCCACGATCAACCAACACAATCAATACCTCCACAACAACGTCCTCCCGCAACTCATCCAGGGCGTAAACACCAAACTGGGCGTACCCGCCAGTGAGCAGGCGTTGTATAATCAGACAAGCACGCAGCTCATTGCAGCGGTACAGAAGAGCTGCGCAGCTGAAGGGAACAAGCCTCTGTGTAACAACCCAGAAGGGCTGTTTAACTATGGTGCCTGTGCCTTCAAAGCCTCCCAGCCGATTCTGGAGAAGCAAGTCAAGCAGCTGTCCAGTTCGGTTCAGCTCACCGAGGAGAAGTGCCAGAAGATTAAGCAGCTCGACTCCGATGAGACTGCGTGGTCCAAGACTCTTCCTGGATACATTGACCGATTCGCCGCGTTGTGTGAGAAGGACAACTAGAGATAGGCATATTGCTCATGCACAACGTTTCTATCACAACTGTTGCTGAGTTGGTGCAGAGGCTGTCTTGTTATAAAGATAGCATTTGAAGCTGCGGGGGCGCTGCGTTATATGTTCAAATGTCTACATGTTTGTTCCCGTGGGGTGTTAGCCAGGTTTCTGGATCATCATTTATATGTACCGTGTCACTCCTTAAGATTATAGTTAGGTCAGTATTGCCAGCAATGAATGAAACTGAAGATAGTGTCAAATAGTCTGTTTATTTCCATGAATGTCTCGTGTATCGTTAAGCTGTAGCACCTTATTCCATACTACCTGTGGTCTCTAGAGAACCCATGTAGTGGTCCTCGAAATAATATGGATCCTTCACAGGCAGGAAACAATTGGAACTTGGAAATTAAAATGTACTTTCACGAAGAGGTTAATGATAGCATGTTTATTTTTATGATTTTATGGAATAGTAATGGCTGCCGGGAAGAACAACTAAACTAAGCAGCACAAAAGAACATTAATAGTTGAGCAACAACAATTTAGTTAGTGATCCGAGTAGCCTTCCATTGTACCTGATATATGCGCCACATACCCGGGAAAAGGTACAGAGACCCATGATTTTAATGAGGGCGGGTTCATCTCCCACCATTTCATTCCTGCCCTATCACTAACTGCAGTCCAGGTAATCGATAGTGCAAATACAGGACCGCCAGGGAAAGTGACCATTATCTGGATCACAATGCATGATCTTTCCTTTGTACTCCATATCTATAATCCATCAGCAATCCTTTCGCTGTTCAACGGGTTTGCATAATAATGACTGAATTGCCCAGCATACCATATCCGTTTTTCATTGCATTTACACATTTTAGTTCCACCCCTGTTGCAGCACAGCCAAATTGGCTGCATTCAAACTGTGCACAAGTATACTCGCCCCGGTGTCCTTTTTGAACCGGTCTCTTACGAAGGTCAAGGCCTGCCACCAGGCCTAGTAAAGATGTGAGGCTTGCGAGTAGAAGCATTTTAAGTTTCGCTATACTCAGCCCTGAGTTCCAGGTAAGATGGTAGAAAGGCGAAACACCAGAGACAAAAGCCTGTTCAATATAGTGAACCGATAGCAGAAATTCCTGTGTTATAATATTTAATAGTAAGATAGTTTCAGACAAATGTGGGAAGTTCAATGTGGAGTTTATATAGATAAGCCTCGCAGCCCTTGATGTTCAAAGCGTCCACTGTTGGGAAACCCTTGCTTGGATCTCTATAGTATCTGAGTTTGAGTTGAATATAAAACAGCCTGCTCTGTTTTCTTTTCACTCTAAGACGTCATCATTCCTTGTTACGACCTTCAGGCAATCACGTAGAGTAGATTTGGTCTTCTTTGCTTTTTCTTTGCTATGGTATTTAACCATGGTTCCCGGCTTCCTGTACCCAACCCTTGACTAGGTCAGGTTCTCTCCTAACTATGCTTTAAAGAAGCTTTATATTCCTACAGGCTAAGCTTTCTAATCCATCGCTAGGATTGCCATTCATGATCTATTTGAGTTATGACTATCCTTAAACCCCTCCTCAGGTAATTAATGCTGGGTAGAACCTTCTAGTGCTGTATCCTTATATCCATGTTGAAGGAAATCGTATTATCAAACATGTCTCACGACCGTGGGAGACGTAATCCTAGTGGCATGACAGTTTCCGTATGATCTGGCCACCTCTAGAGCAGGCCGAGAGGTTGCTCATACGGAAGCGAGGCGCAGTAGTTCATGGAACCTGCTAAGATTGACTTTCCGCCGAGAGTCTAGATTAAATCCAACCGTGGGTTCAACCCAGCGCACTACATTTCCTATTTCCGAATATTTCACAAATAGTGTTGCCTAGATCATTTCAAACTAGTTTTGATCGGTGTCAAGATAGATGGTATGTGTAAAAGTCGAACGGAAAACAGACCTAGTAATGTGCACGTTTCGTTCGCGGTATACTTGCAAATAGTGTACTTGAACGTTATTTTATCATAAAGGCTTTTTAACTCGCTCACACGTTAACTAAGTACATAAATGTAGGCTTCATTTTCCGTCCACAATACATAGGCTTGACTGCAAAACAAACGATCATGGTTTGGCGAGCACTTGGGCAGCCATACTGCCTTCTGTTGATTTGACTGTTTCTTTCGAAAGAATATTACTTATTTAGGGCGATAGCTGGTAAGTGCAGACAGGAGAACACGGGCTGTCAGGTTACTTTTATTTATTTTGCACTCATGCTTAATTAGCTGGCATAGTCGTGTAGTCACCAACCCCTTTACGTATACTTTCAAATTTAGCTGAGCTAGATTTCCGATAATCAATAGTAGGAAGTACTCAGGAAATTTATATGAAACGTGAATTTGTAAAGCGCGAGTGGTAAATAAAGTACTATACTATACAAACTAACAATACTATAACTTTTACAAATGCTTCTGATTTCAGGGGATCATCACACTTATCATAACACACAATGAAGCTCAATGTTATCACGACCGGTGAACCTTTAGATCTCAGATAACTGTTGTAAAGCCAGTAGCCTCTGTGGATGCAGTGACGGGAGTGGAAAAGCCTGAAGTTACGGATCCGCTGGCACTCGCTGGGACAGATCCTCCTGGAGCTATAGACCCAGTGGCGGTCTGGCTCACAGAAATATTGGGCGCGGAGCTCCATCCAGCAGGGAGGCTACTGCTTGGGATAATTTCCGTGATGTTGGAGGTTGTGCTGTTGAAATTAGTAGGGGCCATACCGATCCACTTTTCATCCAGATTATAGACAACATATGCCGCACGTAGCATGCTGTCGCCAAGCAGTAGCGGTCGGTTATTTTGTGCCTCCATGCCAAATATACAAACATCGTTACCGTTCTCATCGGTCATCAAAGTACCGTTGGGGAAAATGACAGGTAAAACAAATTCATGTAAAGGAACAGGGATAGCCACTCCAGTCGGACCCCCAAAGCCGAAGTTGAATGTCCCAGTCACAGACTTCGCCAACCCACAATTGACCTGGCCATTATCCTGAACCCCGGCTGCGCTGGCTATGTTGCTATATATGTCATCCGGGATTAGAACATGCGTGGTACCAGAATCTAGAATGGCATATTCCCTGAAGTCCTGACCAGAAATTGTGGTTTCTGTACCATTCGCATCTGTGAAGGAAAAGGAGGTCCATGTCACGGCGAGATCAGTGAAAATCCCACTCGCGTTCGGTTCCATTGGCAAGGCTACTAAGTCATTGTGATATTTCTCAGAGTCGTATCCACCAAAAAGCACACTCCCGGTGTTGTTGTCTAGCTTTTCATTTAGCAGGCTTATAACAATATGTGATGGCTCAGGGGACATACCAAGATCGTCTAGCCACAGGCTATATGAACGACTCTTCGTAAGACCTTGCTGTACCATTTGGTCCACGAAATTGGGGTATTGTGTTATGTTCGATTCATCTGCCGGAAACCCAATGCCCATGATGCCAGTAGGAACACCTGCCGCCTGCGTTGCGACTGCCAGACTGAGGCCTTTAATGGTTATATTACCAACAGAAAAATCATCCTTAACCCAGTCACCCTTCACTCCTGAACCTTCGGTAACGTAAGATATTTCAAAACCCCCTTCAGATGTGACAGTCGCCGTGCTGGACCGGTTTGGATTGTCTGGAAGAAGTTGGATGTTAGTGTACTTCCAGGTGAAAGCAAAGGTGAAAGGACGCGACAGCAAGCAGGTATAAGCATAGGTTCAGTTTCTAAACTTACATGCACCGCCCAGACAGTAAGAAGTTGAGGGGTCACAGGAATGCACACCAAAAGCCCAGACATCACTACTACCAGTATCCAATTGCAAATTCACCTCTTGCTTCGGGGTGCCAATAGAGGCATTGACATAATATATGCCTGCTGGTAAATAGTTTCCTAGTGAGACATTAAAAGTGCCATTATTCGAAGCACTTTGCATGCGCCGTGAAAAGCCCATCTTAACAACATTTGGAGAGCCTAGGACACATGCTGCTAGAGATAATGGCAAAATAAGATGATTATAAGACAGTATAAGCCTCATCCTGAGATTTTGGAGAGACTTTAGAAGCACCTTGTAGATAAGTGGTTTACTGAGGTCAATAATTTTAGAGCATAAAGGTGAAACTAGCCACTTCAATCAATAATATATATATGTGTTTCCCGTCGATATAATATAAAGCAATACCATGTGAATGTGTCATAGAATAGGATTATGCTTTTAGTATCCTGACTGACATCTTTAAGTGTACGAACCATCTGCTGCTGCAATCGGATATGGTTCCCGCTGATGTAAGAAGCAATAAAGGCTTCGGCTCCAAATCCGCCTCCAATTACTCACTATACTGGGGTAATGGCATGACACAATCTTAATGCAACAAGGTTTTCATATTTACGAGTCTTATGCTTATGGTATTGGTTCAGATCCACTATGGACTGTAAAACCTATTTATTTAAATTGACTCTAGGCATCCGCGAGAATATCTAGCATTTTACAAGGTTGTTACAGCTTTACATTTGAGGGTGGCAAGACATAAATATACCCATGGCTTCGTGTCGAAGAATTCCATGGTAGTAGCAATTACCAGTAAAGTTCGGAAGGCCTAGGTTTCTTCCTCTTATAGCAAGATCGCAAAATCAACACAAGAATGTAAATGGTAATTTACTTATGGAGATCTACACGAGAATCAATGGCAAACCGGATTTCTTTTGTCTTCACTGTAATAGCTTGAAGCTGTATAGGTAAAGTTTATCCCACTTACCGGTTCCTTAACATATGGCGCAGAACAATCTCCAGATGACCTGTCAAAAGAGTCCCAAGAATACGGAAGTAGGTTGCTTGTCATTGTCTTCTTAGGCGAGAAGATATTACACAATTTATAAGGAAGAGCCTATTACAAAGATATTATAAGAGGCTAAACCGTTATTAGCCTCCTACATCTGGTATTCATTTCCAACAGGTTATGAGAGTAAGCAGATGTAAAGGAGGAACACTTTGTATTTGAACGTAAACGTTACATGGCTCTACTTTCATAATGCAGCATATACATGACCAGCAGCTATACTCAGGGTCCTGTAATTGTTAACACCGAACAGAAAGAGACAATCACGTAGCCTGTGGTCCAACAATCAATTCAGTCCGAGTTCCCATTCATGCATGACAATATGAGCCATCAAGGGCGATTGGACGATTGGAGAGCACCGTTATAGGTATCGGTTTCGGAGCTTCTCCTAGTGAGGCAGGGACCGACATTGTGGAATGCTAGTCAAATGGTCTTCGTGTCGCAATGTCTCTTTTTTTCAGCGTGCAGATAGTGCATGTTTGTTGGAAGTAGAGCCCCTGGTGCTACCTCCATTTTCCTCACCATCCCTCTCTTGCAGAAGGAACGGCAGTCACCAGCAAAGTAGACTTGTTTGTCGTCTGAGAAACAGGAGCACTGAGGGTTCTAGACGAGGCCATGGCTCATAATGTATAGTCTTATGATATGCGGCTAGTTGCGTAACGTAATCTACACCCGGTTGAGTTTCAATAACGGAAGTCATGTCATGGATGGCTGACTTTACCTTACCCCAAGTCGCTTCATTCTGGAGTAGACTAACCCTTGAAGCGATATGAAATTGATATACCTTGAATGTGGGAGCCAACAAGGTGCTGGGCTAACATCCATGCTACCCTTTTGCGGGCCATGTATTCCTAATAATATACTGTTGTACAATATACAAGAAACCTTTGTAGACGCAGTATGGATTTAATACACAGGAGAGTAAACATACAGCATGCCGTACCTTTCACTATTCGGAGTCATCTGACTGAAGAGTGCGTCCATTGATGGCCAAAAGTTCCACATTACTATCATTGTCGTAAGTGCCTGCTCAGGTCCGGATTCAAGAGAGTCGATACTTACAAGACAAGAGTTGAATTACCGGGGATAAATGGAGGTGCACCCCTTCATGCTTTGTGAGCACAATGCGTAGGAACAATCCATGTAAGGAGGACTTACCTTGCACCATATCCGTAGTGACTGCGCACACGCCAAGTACAACTGGTTAGCAAAAGCTCAAGGGGGTAGTCGCGCATAAAGAGACGCTTACGGCCCAAACGTAAGAAGAGCCTTTTCCCCAAGGCTCATGCCAAGAATTCCGACCTCCCATCCTGATATATGGTTAGTGGAACTATACATGACAGCGTCACGAAGCTGATATAGATAACTATGTACATACCTTTGATGACGGTACCCATACCAATCTGGAACGTGAAGGGGATTCCTCGCTTGATACTACTATCGAACCTGGGAAAAAAAGGGCAAGGTTAGAGAAGGCATACGGCAATCTTCTTATGAGACCTACCGACGCCCCCGGTTCCATGATCGGGTCGGATCGTAAAGATAGCCATGGTAGTGGACCGTGACCATATCGCCAGCTTTGGGATAATCCACCCCATTACCGGGACGGATAATATCCTTGATAAAGTCGATTATACCCATTTTTTACATAGAAGTTGTAGAACGAGGTGTACGACAGGTATTCAATCCCAACGAGTTTTTGTTCTAGCAAATATTGTCGGAGGACCGGGAAAACGTCCCCGGTGATCACGTGGGAGTCACATTTCTCCCGACGCGTCTTGAATGGCCTCCTTTTGACCAAAACCGTGTAGCAGCCTCGTCTCTTATTTTATGGAAATAGAGGCATCTATCTGCCTATGATTTTTGTATTTTATGGTGAAATTTATATTTGTTGCATCCCTCGTCAGTGACCATATATGCTATAATATGGAGGGAGGAAACGCGCCAGAGTTTCGTTGAGTACTCTGAAGGAGCCTTACCAAGGCTATCGCAGGCGGCGGTCATATTTCCAGATGTCTGATTTTCTTACGTCAAAGGGTCAATACTCAGTTTTCCCCGTTGGTGAGGAAGGATGATCGTGAAAGCTACTATTACGGAGCATTATGAAGATCGTAGATAATCAGAGCAGGTCATACCGTCATGGTTCTTCGAATGCCGATCTCAAGGGAGCTGAGAGCTCTTGATCCCGAGCTCGTTCAGTGTGCACATTTTATTGGACATCTCTCCATGCGAGGAACCTAAGAACCTGCTAAGTTTTCGGAGTGGACCTTGACCAAGCCGATACTTCCCTCAAATAGAAGCCTCCCGAACTGGAAGTGGGGCCTTGGTTCTGGAGGTACGGAATAGGTACCCTCAGCTCAACAACGAGCATTCCAAGTGCCCACTGACAGAAGCCGAATCAAGGAGTGATATGTCACATTGGTTATCTCAGTCACCGATATGGAGAAGTTAGGGTTCACCAGCCAGCCACCTTGCACTACATACTTTGGCGTGTTCACCGCCCGCCGCATGCGACTGAACTCCGACGTCCATGATTATATATTGATGTCATGACCCCCTGATGCCTGCACTTGATATTATAGTATATATATCAAGACCCGTCAATCGTTTTGTATATGCTTGTCGGTGTTGACTTCGATCCTGTGCAATTCAAATCATGAAGTCGTTTACTTACTACGCCGGTCTCCTACTTGTAGCCCCCTTGGTTACCGCAAAGAAAACCAACCTGCAATGGGCGATATGTGATCCAGACCCTCAAACTGTCCTCCGAAAGCTGGGACTGGGAACACCCGACCCTTACAAAGAAAACCCGATTACCTACTATGATACAACCCCCCCGGTATACATTTCCGATGGCCTCATGTTCCGCACCAAGACTTCGAAAGGCGAAAATATCTCCACGGTGAAAGTACGACTCCAGCAGGAAACCTCCGATGTGCCGGAATCGGCAGAGTGTGTTTGGGATCGCTACGGTGAAAATCCTACGTACACTTGCGAGAAGCGATGCCCCTTGCAGGGATCTAGCATTTGGTGCGACCAACAAATCGAGCTCGCGGAGCATTACGAGAACGTCAACTGGGAGGAGCTTATAAATTATGGTCCGTATCAGAATGCCAAGTGGAAGATACGGATTGAAGGTCACAAAGCCAAGTTCGATGACGTCGCCGCCGGCTCGCTACACCTGATGGAAATCGAAGCCAAAGTACCGAAAAAGAAGGCCGATAAGGCTTATAAGGAAGTGACTGAATACCTGAAAAGCCATGGGATTGTATTGTGTGACCCACAAGAAGGGAAAACTGCTAGACTCTTCCGTGCTCTGGGTTATACCGAGGATGAGCGAGGCGATCTTTAGTGGTGGGTAGCCGGTTTCGTACTTTGTCTTGGCCTTAACGGCCCTCTAGGATGGTGTACTGGCGGCATAGTATACGATATAGCGCCAGAATCCTCCTGTATGATCACGTTATATCCTAATTGCAATTACTTGTCTCGATTACATCCTATTCATCGGTCCTGCCGTGGAGTTTATGTTTATCCTGGCTTTGCTCAAGTGACTGTTTTAAGATGCACTTTCAGCTGTCGCAGTTTGTGCAGAGTAGCCATCCGTTTTTCTACATCACCTGATAGTACGGTTAGTTTTCCAGTATTCGCTACTAAGCTCTTAACAAGAACCGATCAGCATCCCTACCCCAGTGGTTTCGCCAGTAACGTCCATCACCGCGCAAATCGGACCCACACCGAATGAAGTTGTTGAATGGCTTCGGGCTCTGACGAGTACAGCCGGGATGGGCTCAGTTTAGACTCCTTTCGACCATCTTCCAGATGTCTCACTCTTCCAACGTTTCCCCCTACAAGTTCGCTCCTATTCTCATAGCATGATAGCTGAGCCCGTCAGATCGTCGGAACCATCATTTTCTCGAAGCCAACAATGGTACCAATAACACCGGTTTTGTTTTCACGGCGTTATTTCGGTTGGCGCTTAGGTCTTCTCTTAGTCTCGGCTGGTCTCCGCCTACAGTTCACAACCCTGTACATATATTCAGCCCTGCGTGCCCCATCGCACTACGTGTTGGTGGGATCCTGTACGCATTAGAAGTAGTAACACAATATGCAGTGTTGACGCTCGAGAGTATTAAAGAAAGTGGCATGATCGTGACTTCGTACAGGATTAGCGCAGGTTTATCCCAACTGTAGCAAGGTTGCCTTCATGGTATCACTTCGCTCTTCCATGCCATCTCATTCTTAAGCGGATAGGGAGTTATTTCGCTATGACGAGCTTTTGAGTAGCTTCGGGCCTTCTCTCGACATCGAGCAATATCGGTCGGTGGGATCTTTTGCATGGCAGCACATATATCCAACGCAACATAGGCACGCTTTATGGTAGCTCTGTCGAATTATACTACAGTGGTTAGCGACGAGAAGCAGGAATGGGAAACCTGCAGAGCAGGTTTGTTAATGGGCAATGTGTGGATCATTGACGAACTCTCCATTATGGACGTTTCCACTCCACTAAAAAGCCAACATTAGCCGATTTCTTTAGGCTTGCAGTAAATAGCATGTTTAATATATGAGCAAAGTATCGTCTACGTAAGAGATATATATTTGGGTCTTCTTTGTTTTCTCTTCTGGTTAAAATAACCGGAAGAATAATGGAGGCAACCGTGCTGTAGTAATGTTTACCTTTTAGCTAGAAGCGACTAAATTGAAATATAAATAAAATAAAATAATACAAAATAAATAAGTAAAGGCGTAAGTAGAGCACCGGCGAAGGATTGCACTGCTAGCTCTTTTTGGTAAACTTATCTTGCCTCGCCATATTGACCAGGGCCAGCAATGATGTATTACTCTGTGGTCCAGACCTAACGGAGTTCTAATACCTCTATCTCGCAATTACTGAGCATCAAAGGCCCACCAAATAACACATTTTCCCTCGGCCCGTAGGAGATCAGGCGATCTGGTCTTTGAAGGATGTTTCTTGGCAATATATTTCACTCCTATATAGCTCACGGCACTATAGCCAAGACAGACCTCAATGCTTGGCAATGAAAAAGAACGCAACATCTCGGTGTCTTGACCGGGCGATTAGCAGGGGAAAGTGACAAGGAACTGCAGAAGTGTGGAGCGTAATGAGTATAGTTTGCAGCTGTTATGGGGTAAAGTGTTGTTCTTAGCTAGGGCTTCTCTTGTTGGTATGAGTTATGCAGCAATTAAACCACTAGCCAAGCCAGGAAAGTCAAGATAGTGAGGTTCTAAGACATGATATTTTTCAGCTCACTCTTGCTCAAAATCAGATGGGTTTGATCACTATAAATATGGGCAGCTTTCTCCTCCTCCTGCTCTCTCCAGAAGAACAATCTGTCACGAGCACTACAACTTCACGATCCAAGACGACTGAGCTTCATTATGTACCATCTCTTGGTCAGTTTCCTCGGCCTAGTGGCGGGAACCGCCTATGCAGCTCCAGTTCCGGAGGTCTCCAGCATGAACACTGTCCGCAACAGCCCTCCTCCTGGCTGTCTTACTGTTGGCCCCGCTGGACAACATCATACCGTTGGAGCTGCGCTGAGCGCTCTCGGAACTTCATCCTCACCCGCCTGTATCTATATCGCTCAGGGAACGTACAAAGAGCAAGTTGTCATTGACTATAAAGGCGCTTTGACTCTATATGGTGAGACCCCCGACACCTCATCGTACAAAGGAAATGCGGTCACGATCACCCATACTATCTCCTCTGATGACGCTGGCACCCTGGATGACAGCGCTACATTGCGAGTGAGGTCTAGTGACTTCAAAATGTACAACATCAACGTGGTGAACGGTTATGGACCAGGCAAACAGGCACTCGCGTAAGTGCATCCAACCTATGCTGATCCAAATTTGCCATAAAGTGCCTAACCAGAGCAACGCGTGATAGACTATCTGCAGATGCCAACCACCTGGGCTTTTATGGCTGTCAATTCCGTGGCTTCCAAGATACCGTCTTTACTAAGACGGGAACCCAATTCTTCTCCAAATGCTTGATCCAGGGTAAGTCGAATAACGTCTCGGTGCGATGCCTTTCTAACCACGGACACAGGGTCGGTGGATTACATCTTCGGAGGTGGATCTGCTTGGTTCGATCGATGTGATATCCGCTCTACGGCCCCTGGTTATATCACTGCCAGCGGACGTGAAAAGGCCGACAATTCCTGGCTGGCTTTTGACCACTGTACCATTACCGGAGCTAGCGGTGTGGACCTTAAGGAGAAGGTTTTTCTTGGAAGGCCTTGGCGGCCTCTTGCACGGGTCATCTATCAAAATTCGGATTTGAGTGATGTTGTTTCACCGAAGGGATGGAGTCCCATGGCCAAGGGCGCGACTCCACTGTTCTACGAATTCAAAAACACCGGAGCGGGATCCAACACATCGAAGCGAGAATTTTTGTCGCCCATTGCTACTGCTGTCACGCGAGAGAGTGTCTTGGGCAACGATGCTGCTAAATGGGTTGATGCGCGATACTAGAAGGCCGCAGGGTCAAAAACATAGTCCACAGAAAAAGTCAGGGGTGTTATATTAGCTCACTTTTGGGGATCCACAGCTCTTGGCCGGTGTTAGAATTTCCAAGCCGTGCCTTGTTTTATTGTTATGAGATGACGATGCATTGAAAGAACATTCCTTTTGATCGACACCGGAGAATTACTTGCTCCGGGTCCCGCAGGCTATTATTAGATAGAAATTGAAAGAAAAAAAAAATCCACTTTACACCTTCCATGCGTTGCTTCCATACTAACTAACCCGTGCATCATGGAGCCCTATGATTGTGTGTCCGCTATAGCTGCACTCATCCCACTTGTTGACAATATGATGGAAATTCTAAAAGTCTATGCAACACAGAAAGCCAGGAATGGTACTCGAGATATCTTGAGCCTGCTGTATGAGATTTCCAATCTCGACGAGCAACTCGAAGACCTCAAGAGACTTCTTCAAGCCCCAGAAGGAACAACACTGGTATATTCGCAGTCACTTTTCAACGACTCAATGGTATTTTGCACGGCCTTGGAGAACTTGAGGAAGATAGACCCCAAAAGCTCCCAACCCCTATTGAGCCGATGGGGACTTCAGGCACTTCAATGGCCCTTGCGACCTATACTGTGTAGAGACGGAGGACATTATTAGTCATTTCGAGAAATACCAGTACTTCCTTAGTGTCTGTAAAGAGACCGATTATCAACTTTATTATAGGCTCACCTTCCACTCATTCGTGCTCCATGTATCACGATAAATAAACTACTACTCACCTCGCTGAACAGAATGAGTCAGAACCTGACTTAGAAAATCGCCGATTGCTAGAGCCTAGCCTCATAAGGGCCACTCACCACATGGCAAATCGGTCATGGAGGCCAGAATGGCAACTAGACTCCGGTAGATGGGGTTATGTTTAGGGGGGAACTGAAAAAATTTCAAGTGGAGATATCGAGCCTTTCGATCCAATCACTTTCTGTGAGAGACCGATGAAGGAGCGCTAATCGAGTAAAGGCTCGTGCGGTACGGAGTAGGAGCTCCACCATGATTGAGCCCGGCATTTGCGAAACGAACCCAGAAGATCAGGGCTGGCTGAACTTGCTGAACTCAACCCCTCTTTGATCCTGGATCATGCATTCTCTGGGCTGGTCTAAGACGGAAAGGCTTTCCATGCTCCTCGTAACAAGAACTTCCACGTCCAGGATATTTACACTTTCAACGGAGTACGTATGGCTTGATAGCATTGGCTTCTGATAACATTAGGATGATGTGTGTGGTGTTATCATTATTGAACTGCGCGAAGAAAGGCCCTAGAATTATTCTGTACACAATCTTTAATCTGCTGTCGTGCCTGGAAAGGCATGTTACGAAGTAATCGTTCCCAACAAGGTAAAACTGTGGGCCACGATTTCACCATGCATGTAAGCGAAATGAACCATGGTGGGAGTGCCCCATATAGTTCGAAGGTATGGCTTAAGGGCCTAATGACTCGCGTAGGTCGCTGGAACCACGGATCAAGGCCTCGTGGTTGCACTCCACTCGGGTCAGATAAGCGAGTTCCAGCCTCTTAATCTGCCGGCAAATACTAGAAGATCGCCATCCGAGCTTTTCAAAATACCTCTAGGTTCTTATCTAGTTTTTGCTCTTCGTCTTTCTAAACGTCATTTGTTCTATTACACGCTCGTTGCCTTTCTTTTGTTCTTCTGCTATGGTTTATCCCCCAAAAGCATGCTGTGTCGCATCAAGTCATGAGGGAACTTCCGGTTTAGTAGTGCTATTTTTTTTTACAGGTATTTAATTATCCTTGGTCCAAAGAGGGGAAGCCTTTTGCCAAGAGAGGTAACTTTTCCTTGAGAAATGAGTCTCTAACAGACACAGTTCAAGTGCCCACTCTCGTTGAACGTCGAGCCTATCCCTCGATAAGGTGACAATACCCTCATCGAAATGGATACCTTGATGCCCCTAGTAGGGAGAAGCCGGGCGATTTTCACCGTCTGCGTGGTAATGATGTGCCTCTCGATTGTGGCTGTCCTACTGCGAGTCTTTGTTCGATCATATCTAGTGCGAGCCTTCGGATGGGATGATACATTGATGGTGGCAGCGCTGGCCAGTATCCTATAAACCGCATATGAGGACCACGGATTATACTGACCGTGAACAGGCACTGTTTACGTTCCTGAATATCTGCTGCATTATTGGAACCCAAAATGGTGTTGGCCATAAACTTACGGACTTTACGAGCCTGAACACACTGCAAAAAGCCATGCTGGTATGATACAAGGCACACCTATCCGCTCTGTGAGAAACTTCTTAATATAAAGCATCGCTAAGAGTCCTACGCCTACGCTAGTGGTGGTGGTTAGGTCAAATGCTCTACATCTGGTCATCGGCAGTCGCCAAGGTTTCAATCGCCCTGGCCCTTATTCGTTTGACAGTACGGAAGATACACATGATTATCCTTTGGACCGTTATTGCTGTCGTCATTGCGATCGGTCTTATGTTCTGGCTCGTCCTGCTCTTTGACTGCAACCCGGTCTCCTACTTTTGGGAGCGCCTTAATCCAACCAACTCGGGGACATGCTTATCGACCGATATCCTTCTCGCCATCGCATACCTTTATAGCGCACTTACGATTTTCTGCGACTTTACCTTGGGAATATTCCCTGTCTTCTTGGTTTGGAACCTGCAGATGAACGGGAGGACAAAGGCTGCTTTAGGTGGAATCCTAAGCATGGGCGCTATGTTCGTGTCCACTGCCGCGCATATACTGCTATTCTGTAGTACCTCTGTGCTGATATCATTTTTAGTGCCAGCGTCGCTGTTGTGATTCGACTCCCTTTTCTACAGAACTATAAGGACACTGATTTTCTTTGTGAGTTGCCACGAACCCTCCAGTATCGATCCAACCGTCCCCACCTTCTGTGCTCCCTCCGTGACTTCTTGGTCTTTGGGGAAGAGCTGACATGTTGGTTAGATTCAACGTACCAAATTGCGATTTGGTCAGTGATGGAGACCGGTCTTGCTATCATTGCGGGAAGTCTCATTACACTACGCCCCTTATTCCGGTGGTTCCTGGATGGAACCGTTTCTTACCCTCAAAATGAGCGTAGGGGGAAGTATCCCCTGTCGAGCCTTACCGGAAATACCTCCAAGACCGCCGCCTCTCGCGACCCCAGATATTGGCGTCCAGATATTGCTTCGGATGATACGTCTACTTTTGTTGTAACTTCGGTATCATCGCCGGACCGTCTTCACGGCAATGATAATAGCAGCCAAGAGGTTCTGTACCCAGTGCCGGACCCCTGGACGCCCCCAAACAGTGTCAATGTGCATAAAACGTTCCGGGTTGGAGAAGAGGAGGCCTGAATATAATAATACCTTACGTTCTCTCCTTTCAGTATATGTTCAATTACCGCCTGGGGCAGATAACAATGCGCAGTAGCATTCTACACCTGGGGTATATAGTTATATCTAATGAAATTACCGCATATGGACAACGATAGCCCTCGCTCGTGGTACCTTGCCTTGTCTTGTCTCAGGACCACTGAATTTACCAGGAATGCCAAGCTGCCTCCACTTTCAGGGATGTTAGATTCTCTATCTTAAAATGCGGAGTCCGTCATTACATCAAAAGCCAGGCCTTATAAGCGCAAGCATGACAAATACTTATGGCGTGTATACAGCTACAGTTATAAGACAAGCCTTAGTCTCACGCCGAATATAAGGAAAGACCAGAGCTTTGTATTGAATTATCAGCTGCATCTGGTTTGACCATGCACTGTTAGACCTCTAACGGATTGGAAAACGCCAAGGAGTTCTGGCTTTGGTCTGGGGTGCCGTCCGTCAGATTCCCAGTATTGTCGAAGCCACTTGAATCCCGATAAATTTAGCTAGCCTTAGATTCTTATGAGCCCTTTCAATGGCACCTCGCATTCCAAATTGTATTGCCGTTGAGGTGATTTCTATATTTGCGAATCTTGCAGGCATTCTTGCTTTCTCGGCACTACAGAAATCAGTAACCCATAAATTTGATATGACAGCACTTTTCATACGGGCCATGCAGCGTCACATCCCCATTGGAAGTCAATTTTGTTCTGTTTAGATTTGGCCGGACTGGCTGGTAGGCTTTTATCCTGAGCCACGCATATCCCGTACGTCGAGGTTTTCTGATCTGCCAAGAAGCATTCCTTTGTACAGTCAGTCAGAGCTTTTATTTGGCGCGAGGATTGGTAGACTTACACCGTCGTAAACTTCTAGTTCTTCCGTTACAGCATCGGCGAGTGGTGGTAAGACGGGCTTAGCGCCACCACCGGCTGGGGGTACTCCGGCATGACTGACGGAGAGAATAGTAAAGATCAAGACAGTGAAAGTGGCTATCTTCATGTTGAGATCACTTGCCTACTGCAGCTTGCTTACAGAGTCGGCATTGCGAAGCTTTATGTATGTCAATTCCGATGCGGAAATTATGTTCCTTGTTCTCCAGTGTTTATACTTCCTTTGACTGTGCCCGCCGGTACAAACTTTGGACTCGCCCTCTCTTCCCCCTTCCTTTTCAAGGTTCAGGACATAATCCAGGCCCTGAAAGCCTGTGATATTCCCTCTTTGTTGAACTAATGACCAACAGCTAGGTTAGAGGCTGAGTATCCACTCTATAGGTTCGAGCATCAAGCTCTGGAATCCAGTCACCCGGGCAAAGATCATTCCACACCTCCACCGGTTGTCTAAAGTTTGACAAAGGCTGCATTAAAACACGAAGGCTAACGCCCATGAGGCCATGGCGCAACTGGCTCTGATTAAGACCCACCATCGAAGGGTCACCAATGCGATGATCATAGCGTTATACCTATGGAATGTGAACGCGACACGGTACCCGTACTGGTCTTTAATCGCAAAAGTGACCGTCCAGGAATTTGAAATCTGTTTTTGAGGTCAATCGAGTATGATTACGATGTACCACTGAATCTCGAGGACAAAGCGGATACTTTTGTATTACTAGAGCCTCGGGTTCACTGTGGGGACAGTTCTTCCTACCTACGCAATACAGTTTACATACGCCCAATGTTGAGAAATGCAAAGCCTTGTCTAACTTTTTATTTGTTAAGATATTATAATAGATTCTAGCTGCCATATCTGATTCCTGCTGTCTAACATTCAGTTTTCGCGAGGCCCGATCGCAGCTGCTGTAAAGCCGCGTCAGGCTATAGGCTCAACGAGCCGGTCAACTGGATATCCAGCACACTCTTTCCAACATAGAGGTTGTAGCTTCCTGCCCGGAGTCCCCAATTCTGCTTCTCTGTATCCCAGGAGCTCAGGTCGCGACGAGTAAGATTGAATGTCACTTGCACCTGTGCTCCCGGTTCAATGAGTTGCTTCTCGAATCCTCGCAGAACCTTGGCTGGGCCACCCGGAATGGCAACGTAGAGCTGGGCTACCTCTGCCGCCGCAACAGACCCAGTATTGGATACTGTACAAGTCACAGTGGCGATGATATCCCACAGTGAAGCGAGACCACCCTCAGCCACGGTAGTACCTGGAGCCAGGTAGCTAGTGCTCACGTTCGAGGAAGTGGAAACCTTCAGGTCAGAGTAGGCAAATGTGGAGTAAGTCAATCCATACCCGAACTCGTACCGTGGTGTGATATTGGCAGCCACGAAAGCCTTGTAGTCGATGTAGACACCCTCGGTGAAGTTATCCTGGGGGTAGTAAATGTCGTCGGTACCGGATTGAATTG